CCCCAGATCTCAGCAACACAGGTTAAGAGTGTGTGATGAGCTCCTGCCCTTTAGAGTCACCAACATCTACACTAATAGAGATATAAGATGTAGAAGATGTGTTAAAAAAATTATATCAAATCAGTAACTTTTAAAGATGCTACATTTAATATTTAGAGCATTAACATAGCAGCAAACAACTATTGGCTATTTAAAGATATGGAGGAGTAATGTCTACCTGAGCAGAGAATGAAGTCACTCTACCTCTGTGTGTTTTGTAATCCAAGCTTCTCTGTTTAAAAGCTAGTCAATCCCCATAGACCCCCGGGTTAAAAAAGCCCAAATTTACAAAAGAAATAAACATGTCGGGTACAAAAAAACGGTTTGGATCGCTAAAGCTAATATCCCTGTTCATATCAACTATACAGGGGAGGATTTTTTATCTAACTCACCTGTTTACATTTTATTAAAGTTTAAATTAGGCATAATTAAGGGTTTTGCCCTTTTGAGTAATAGGTGGGTGCCATCTCAGGTCGCTAGCTATCTCTTCTGCTGTATCAGCGATCCAGCTCCTTTCCCATTTTTAGTTAGGCTGTGTCGTCACTGCCATGATGGCGACGGCTGGAGAGCTTTGAGCTTCACAACACCTCTTCAGAAACCTATGGTTGACATCATGGAGACTACATCCATATCTTATCGAGTCTATGCTCAGAACCTGTTGTCCATTGTCTTTATGCGCATACATGTAAAGGACAGAACATAGATTGACTGGTAAATCGAGAGCTTTGCCAGCCGGCGTAGCTCCGTGTGCGGAGCGCGACAAATTTGAAGGGAGCTAGACATATGTTTAGTGCATAAGCACAAACAACAGTCAGAGATTATTCTCACTGACTCACTGTCATATGTAGGTGACCCTCTTGTTCCCCGGGGAGAACTCAAACACAGCAGCGCTCAGCTGGGGGCTCATGAGTATCCCCACACCCGCCCGGCACCTCTCAGCCTGGGCAACTCCAGAAAAGGCCAGAGTCCAGCCTCTCTCCGGGAGTTTGGTTTCAGAAAAAGTGCTATGTGGAGGTGAGCCCAACTTTACCTAGTTTATATAGCTCCACCTCCTGCACCAGCTCCAGTACTATCCCCAACAGAGAGGTGACGATCCACATCCCTAGAGCCAGTCTGCAATGCCAGGGGTCGGCACACCTAGGTTTTGGTCAATGCCTATCGTTGCAAGTTGTGGGCCCACAGGGCGGCGACTCCATGTAGATTTTTTGGGCTGTGCGCGGCCGAGCACTACGTGTTAACGGCCGCCCACCAGACCTCCTGCAGACAAGCTCCCCTCCTAAGTCTGGCTCCAAAAGGGGGCCCTGATACGCCCCTTTTACGGGTAAGGTGGTACAACTTTAAGTAACATGACTGAGTTTGAAATGCACTATGATTCATGATGGTTTATATCTCCAGTACATGTTGTGGTCATAGTCGTACATTATACAGTACATAGCTTCTTTTACAATTGTAATTTCCCTATGAATTTGAAAAATACCATAGCTTCTCATGAGTTTTGTTCATCATGCTGCTCTAGCTGAAAAGTTACATCTGCCAAGGCAGTTAGTCAGTCAACAGGAGGTAGCATCAGAGATAGGATCCGTTCCATCTGTTTTTATTCACATAGCATTGTATGGCTTGACTTGAAATGCATAGTTTGGTTTTAATTGTATCATAACATAATGTTAGGCAATGACATTTGATTCAGGCTCTCATAAGTCTTGATGCACTATTTTGAATACACACAACATTCATCATGGAATGGTATGGATCTCAGTTAGTAATACTAATGGATAAACTGACTACTGTTTATTGGAATAAGAACAATGAATAATAAAAGCTTTGGGTTTACATTATTTTCCCACCAAAATATCAATAGGCTCTTGAACTTTGTTGGAAGTAAAAAAGAAGATGAATAACACAGTTGTTCCCAAACTCAATGCCTGGGACTGTCTTTCTTCAGGTCATGAATAGCTCTGCTGGTCACATGACATACCACCACGGATTTTAGCTGGAGGAAAGAAAAGCGCTCCTTGTTTTATTCGCAAAAAGTTCCCTTTGTTTACCAGGATAAGATTAACGTCTGCAAATACGCAAGTTTACAAAATCATAAATGATGTAGTGATGAGAACATAATCACATGTTGCGCTGCACAGTCTGCTAATATAACATAGCAGTTATAAAGAAGCCTTTCCTTTGATCCATTTTTGGTAGAGGTGACATTCAGCAGGAGACCAGATGAGAGGGGACCCCCATGGCTTAGCCTTTAAGCACGACCATTGTTTTCCCATCTGGTCAGCTAAACTCTAGCCCAGAAATATTTCTGCTGAATTCACCATCTTGGCTGTAGACAGAGCATAGTTATATGTACACTAGATCTCTGTAATCATGTAATACAAATATTCGTATAGTGTATTACTCCTATTATCTCGTTTTTCAGATGGGTGATTTAGGAGCTTATTATTTCATATTTTTTTGCAGCATTTCATTCTCAAAAAAATATTTAAATTGTTCTATGATCATGGCTGCATTCAGTAAAGTTAAGAAATGAATATGCAATGCATGGGTTATTGCTCAATTCAGAAAATTGAAGAGTTCCCTGTGTTATTTAGAGTTGAAGCACCTCACCCGAAAAAAGGAAAACCAGGGCCCCCTTCTGGAGTCAGACTTAGGAGGGAAGCTCGTCACCAGAAGGTCTTGTGGCCGGGCCTTAACACATAGTGCTCGGCTGGGCACAACCCGAAAAAGACCACATATAATATGTTTATCTTATACGTGTATATATGAGTATAACCTGTAAAATGAAATCACACATCGAAATTTCATAGTATCACATCAAACTCCCCCTTAGACAAGACAAGAGCAGGAAACAAAGACATCATTAATGTTTTTAATTAATTGAAAAGGGTGGAACACATCAGGTTACAGCATGCAATTATGCAATTGTCATGCAATTATGTTGCCGATCTATCAGTTTATGACGTAATCTTTCATAGAGGAAGATTTTGGTTATTTCGTCCACCCATTCATTCACTAATATACTGTATCTCCTTTAGTTCAGTAACGCAACACTGGACAACATTGCCAAATGTTGGTGTTAACTATATTAACAACAACATATGTTGGGAAATATGTCATTTGCACATTCTGGTTGAAAAGCAAAGAATATGTGGTTAGAATTATGACATTAGAAATACAGTCAATATGCGATGCTGTTCGTGTAAACTTGTACTCAAAACTAATCTCAATTCCTGCCTTGAACCCTTGTTGCATGCCATTCCCTGATTTACTGTCGCCCCTCCAGTATCCACTTTTAAATAAAGGAAAAATGCCCCAAAAATAACATCATTGAGCGAACATTTATCAAGGGAAGATTTTAAGGATTTATCACTAACAATATTAATTCCTGCAGCCTTTATCAGATAATTAAAAGTCGATACTGAATAAATCTCTCACTCACTCTGACAAACGAGCACATTGTTCAATCAAACAAATCAAAGTCAAAACCAAAAAGGCTCCCTTTTATACTGTATACGGGACAATGTCGAATTAAGTGAAGGATTTCTGGGAAATGAAGGAAAGTGCTTTTTTTGAAAAGGGGATCTTCTGGGGATGGACTCACAGCTATCCATCTCTCTAAGCACTGCTCTTCTACTTTACAGCATAACTTAACCATGTGCCCATGACACTATGTATGGAGTATAGACCTGCTGGACTTAATATACACATACAGCACATACACATGCTGTACTATGTATTCACATTAATTCACATGATACTGTTGAAACATTGAATTCTACCTGTTTTCTCAAATACTGTTCATTTTTTATGTTTTCCATTCTCTTGAAATTATATTATCATATAGTCAGTGGTGACAAAATGCAGCATCACTTCTGTGATTTGATGCAGAAATCCTTCCAACAGAACTCTGGCATGTTGAGGCAGACCGAGATTGTTATATTTAGTCGGATAGCAAGTCTACTGCTAATGAATGCTGCTGGCAGGGTGTCTGTGAGCCATGCAGAGATTACAGGGAACACTGGTAATATGTGTCCTCTGTGAGTAGGAGCAACACAACAAGCCAGACAGAAAGACAGTTAGTATTAGATATATTAATTCCATAGTGTGCTGATTAATTTCAAGATAGCTTTCTCCCGCACCAGACATGGTCACTGTAATATTGTATCTCAAGCTGGTTGTATGGGAGCTATTGTGTTCTTGTTTAGGGTCCAGTGAGTAGCTAGTTTCATTGGTGGGCAGTTGTGCTCTCAGGCATCAATAGCTTCCACTCTCAGCTATAACCAGTTCAGCTGATAAATTGGTGTATTCAGGGCTCAAGACTAAGTTTAGATCATGGATTGTTTTCTGCTCCACCTCACACAATGTTCGGTGTGAGTGATTGTTCCTATGAGCACATTGCAATTCTCTAAATTGGCTGTAATCTGTGCTGCCTGTTTGATCTATTCTACTAAACCCTGCAGTCTGCACCATGCTGGGGCTCTCGCATTACATTTGTCCAAGTCCTGCTAAGCTTAGTCATTTTCATCCTACGTCTTGCTAATTAAAATACTTGTAGTGCATGTATATGACACATGCAGCACACATGAATTCACACACAAATATACTTTGTTTAACCACCCCTGGGCTCAATTATTTTATCTCTCGCTACTATTTCATTTGCTCTGACATGCAGGCATTGACCTATAAATCGGTTCAACTTCTCCTCTGTTTTCCCAACATTTATGTGAAACCAGAGGGAGGTGTTAGTCATTTTTAGATTTTTGTTTAATTAACATTCTATATAATGGTTGCTAAAATGACTTGCCTGATTGCAATAGTACTTGTTGATACATTTTCCCTTGGGTTGTTTTTTTTCTATAGTTTTAGGTTGAATAAAGACATCTTTGGACTTACCCTCTTAGAGGTGACTGGCAAAAGGATAATGAATGATTCTACTTTTTGACACTTTGTTTCTCTTTCAGGGTCTGACTTCCAGTGTAACATTCATGTCATCCCTGTGAAAAATGAAGAGGGCGTGGTGATGATGTTTATCTTAAATTTTGATTTCATCGCGGATGAGGAAAGTGACCACTCCACAGAGAAGATAAGCCCAACGTCCCCTACAAAGTCAGATCAAAGTGAGTATTTGATATGCTATTCCCTCCTTACTATGATATAAATGCACCTGAAAAAGCATTGCTACAGAGAGGGACTATAAAAATAGAAATGGGACCATTATTTTGTCTTTGTTGCTGTGGCATTTTTATTAGTTGAAATTTCATTTTCATCCCACACCAGTATTTTCTAGGTAAAAACATCTTTCATGATCAAAGCTTTTTGATGCCGTATCAAAAAATTATGCATGGCATTGCATTTGTCATTCATTTGTCACATTTTCTATTTTTTTTCCTCCAAATTAAACCTTTGCCCATTTTGTGAAATGGCACTATTCCTAAAGAAAAATAAAAAAATAAAGTTCTATAAAAATAGCACTCTACATCTGTTAGACACTAATTAAGCACTAGAGATTTTTATTCCGTTCCCTGAGATGCTCCTCCAAAAATTGTTTCCAGCTTCTATTATTATTCCACAAAAATATGCATTATTTAAGTTGCCTGTACAATGCAGTTTACAATGATGGAATGCACCGTGTATGAGCAGTCTACTTACATGACCTTATCTTGTTGAAAATGTTTAATTATTGATCGTTATATATTTGTTTCATGTCTTAGGAGAACACCAAATATACAGCATTTATTTTTGGATGTGTGTCAGTAGGTGTAAATGTCAGAGAGACGTTCCAGCTCCTCTCCGACCGGAGCTCAGCTATCCACTTCCCTCAGCATAAATTCATCCAGGGCACTGGCATTTGACTTGTGCTGCACTGTGTGTATGCATGTACGTTATTTTGTGCATGCATGCATATGTGTGTGTGTGTGTGCGTGTGCATGCATACATGTGTGTGGTTTCTAATGTGTGAGCGAGTGCCTGTGTCCGTTGCCCGTTGCTAACATTGCTAATCAGAGTTGATTGCTTGTGACCGTGCTACAGTGAGGGGACCTGTGGGTAGATGGGGTAGAAAACAATATGATGTGACTTTTGATTGGAAGGAGTCTTGACTACATGCAGACATCACACTTTAAGTATGACCTTACTATTGTCTTTATCTTTGAGCAGTCCTTAGATAGCGCCAGGGCATAAAAGTGTAATTTTTACGCTATATTGGGTTATATAAATGCATGTATTCAAAAGCATGTAGACCATTGATACTTAAAATTGACACTAGCGAAGAACTTCATCCGGTTGTCAGGCACAATGACATGACCGTTTCAAGGAATGACTTGGACATGTCCCTGCTTTCAAAATTAAATTCAGTTATTGTTTAGCACTTTACCTGAAACGATCAGGGAGAACATTCCCAAAAAGCCTAGCCATACATTTTGGTGTAGCGGTCTATTAGAAGTGATTTTTGGACATTGGGGAGCGAATTATGATCTGCTGTTGACAGCAGGCAAAAAGCCCGCAGGTATCAACTAGCACAATATTGAGCCTGGAAGAGAGTAATCCCTCTTTCCCTGAGCTGCCATCTAGAACACACCATTCAGCAACTTCAATATGCCTGTAAGGCCCAAAACCTGAGACAATATACTTGTTGTAAATTGCTCAGCAGAAAGATACACTGTTCGGTGCACAGAGACTTCTTTCCACTGTTTAATCAACAACATTAGAATATATTAACTTTAAAAATAAAGGCCCAGCCGAGCCACTTTCTGTCAATATGAAGGTCCACTCCTGGCCCTTTACAGATGTTTAAGCTCCTCATCTTATCCCTAAGGGTGAGCACATACTCCCTGTGAAGGGAAGTTACGTTGGCTGGTTGTATCCACAATCTCATACTCTGAAATACTACCCATAGCTCGTGAGTATAGCTGAGGGCTGGAAAATAAATCAACTCCTAAATCATGAACTTCACCTTCAGGCTCAGCTCAGCTTTTTCAGCACAAAAGACCATGTCACTGCCAATGTCGCATTGATTGTCTTGTTAATCTTACGCACCATCATTCTTTCTCTCGTGAACAAGACCCTGAGATACTTTAACTCCTTCACTTGAAGCAGCAAACTTGCTCACAGCTCAAAGCACAAAATCCACTGTTTTCCAGCTGAGTAAAATGGATGTGGAGATGCTTATTCTCATCCTCGCCCCTTTACGTTTGGTAATGGAGTATTAAGAAGTCCTAAATCAGGCAGCTGGAGTTGCTGTTTTATTCTTGAAGACATTTCATCACTCAACCAAGGGATGTAATCAGTCTAATCAGTGGGGAGTCCCAAGTAGGAAGACGTCTTTGGATGATTCACACTTAAAAGTCACATGAGGTGTCATTAAGGCGACATGTGAGCTGTTTAAGTCACATGGCAGTTATGTGTGTGCCACCAGAGTCCCATGAATTAAGGTGTGAAATAGTTTAAACCACCTCAAAGGAGATGTAAGGACAGCGCTGTAAGCTGCTGATTTTTCAGGAAAAAAAATGGCTTTTGTCAAAACAGCAAGATCTAGCAAAGACTCCAGAGCAACACACAAAGAAACAAGTCTGGGCAGTGAGTAGATGGAGTGTCCAATCAACGCAACCAAGAAACACACTAATATACATACTTGTTCACTCTCATGACCATAAACCCAAATATAAGTTTCAGCAGGCTCATTATAAACAAAATGGGACACTTCGTGCCCTGTTTTTCTAAATTAACAAGATTATTGTCTTAGAATTCAGATTTTCAAAGAAAAAAAAACTGCTCTGTTTTTCTGAATGAAAAATCCTGTGAGAAGCTCTCACCTATATCATCTAATAAATAAATGTGCCCATGAAATAAATAAATATGCCTATCATATGGCCTAATCCTTACATATTACATAATTAAATGAGCCAATAAATATACAAATAAATGTATAAATGAGTCAATATAGTTCAATAAATAAACATGTTACTTTTATTCATTTTAGGAGAATATTGTTTCATAATTTATTTCCCAGCTCTTATTATCTGTATCTAAAAATAAAGTTTGGCTACTGTAAGTTTTTATAGTATAATAAAATGTATCTGTGTGTAGTACCATTATTTATTTAGGGGGTACTGTATGTGTGTTAATGGTGATGTCATTGTCGAAGGGTTCGGTTGTGGTCATTGATACTACCGTGCTTTACTTAAACCGCTCCAACAACAAACTGCATCTAATAAGGTTTGATAGCGCTAGACTTTTCCATACCACAATATGTTATTCAGGGATTATATAAACATTCAGCCAGAGCAACAGTCAAGAGCATTGATGACAGTCTCCCTGCAGAGAAGAGACAGGAAGGTTGTCCATATCTCTTGCCAGCTCAGGATGTTATTATGTTCCTTCTCAGGAAACTTGTCGAGTGTCATGGCTCTATTGTAAACTGCTATAGTTGTAACATCAGCACATTTGGCCAGGGAATGGAAACAAATGGCAATGACGTTATGTAAGGAGGCTGCTGAGAGATGGGTGCCTCGCGAGTGAGGCAGGCTTCACTTTTCACTTTCTTTCCTCCTGCTATTGTTAATGAGCCAAAACTGTCCCAAGAGGTCATTAACATTGGCTACTGTGTCCCTTGTGGAAATGTGGTTTCTATACAAGAATTTGGTGAGGCATAATAAATTGATTGTGCAATCTGCACTGAAAGGAGATGATTTGTCAAAAGCACATCTGTTTTGATCGGTCTTAATTTTCATAGTTTACTGCACTGATCTGCTAGCATGGCAAATGTTTAACGCTAGACAATAAAATATTCTGCTAAACATTGTTTTGTTAATTAAAAGACATGAAGCTTAAGTTACAAAAAGATTACAGAAATTTGATCCCCTGCTTGTCTGGGGACAAACACAGCATGGATGTCTTATTAAAGATTAATTTGCATTGAAGGCCTGCAGACTTGAGAAACCAGAGCCAAAATCTGTTCATCTCATATGAGTGGACATGTTTCAGAACCTGACGTTCTTCACGTTGGGCCTCCATGTACTTTTTTCTTATTACTGTTGTCGCTGAAGGGGGAAGCCGACATACCAAAAGAACTTTAATAATAATATTACTTTTCTAATTAATTATACTTTGGTATATCGATTATCCTTCAGTCAGAAAAAGGAGTTTGGTTCTCCTGGTTCCAATTTCATGACCTTTGCAATTGATGAAAATGGGTCTATGAATTGAGCATTTTATCAGTTCTAAATTACATTTTTTATGTGTCAGTTTCCGTTTTGCCTCATGTCTTGTAGGCAGCATAAACCTGTTGTCCAATCATGGCTTTCATTATGTAAAAAAATGTCTATGGGATGTTTTTATTTTCCAGTGCTGTACACTGAAAGCTTAACAAGCTTTCTCATAATGTTTCTCACTTTTTAGGGAGAAGTAGATTCTTCCGCTTCCGCCATGCTGCTTTGAGCCTAATGAATACCAAACAATCTCTTCCGCAAGAGGACCCAGATGCTGTGATGGTGGACCCGCCCAAAGAGAATGAGGGCTCAGTAGCCCTGCGGAGCTTCCCTTCACCTACCAAGAGCATTTGCAGTCCCATTGAGACCAATGACACGCATGGCCTCATAGGCTCAAGCCACCACTCTTCCCAGGCTAGCGTCGGCCCTGAACCACTTGGACATTCATCCCCTAAACACATCTGGGAGAAGCTGTACCAAACAGGGCCTCACCAATCTTCCACCACCCTCTCAAACACCTTCCCCAGAGGCAGCATCAACAGCATGAGGCGAGCCTCATCTGTCCATGAAATGGAGGTCTACAGTTCAAATTCCAAAAGCCTATTCAAGGATCGTCATACCAGTGACGGTATGTACAGAACTGCAATATATAAGTAGAGCTTACAGCTCCAGCAGCAATTTGTGTAAAGCACCCAACTGACCCATCCATCCCATTATGATTGAGTTTGCATTAGAAGGCAGACCAGTGTTAATTCAACCATATGACACTTGGGTCAGATTTAGTCTTCAAAAGTTATATTTAAGAGACAACATTTTTAGATAGACACTGTACTTATTTTTACTCTTATTTTGTATTAAATATATATATATATATATATGTTTATTAAAAGGTTTCTTCTTCAGTTACACTGTCAACAAAATGCTCCCTTTGACAATGTCACAGGTAATCATGTATTTTGCTGATGAACCATGACTCTGCTGTTCTGGAGCATGACTTTCAAGAAAGGCAATCAGCAAAAATGCTCTTCATAGATCCACTTTTGCTGGATCAGTTAAGTGGGCTGACTCCACTTAATTATGTGAAATTATGTTTTCTTAAAACAACGTTGTGATTTTGTCACATCAGCCTCATATAGCTGCTCTCATCATGCGCTAATCAAAGCATTGCTTTTAGACTAACCTGCATGAATGTATGCTTGTATTATGTGATAACGTAGTAGTGCTGCTGACTAGCTATTCTTCCAAACTACGCCAGCCGTTAATTATACAGTATCTGTGGTAAAATCCTGAATAATTGCATAGCCATGTACCAACACTATGTTATGTTACGTTACAGAAACACTTACTCTTTACTCAACAGCCACAAATGTCGTAAAAAGTCATTTTAGCTAGAGATGTGTCTCCAGTCCGCCATACTGTTAACACGTGTGTTGATGTGTAACCTGTGATGAAAACAGAAGGACAGTTTTTCAAAACTTTGCTTTTAGGAATATGTGAAATTTAAAAGCTTATGTCTCTAAATGAAATACCAGTTCCTCATTAAATATTTAATTGGATCTAATTCACACCCAAGTATAGTCCTCGGTATCCCACCTTATTCTTACCAACATAAACTAGCTGAGCTGGAGTGCATTTTCCTTTTGTAGATAAAGTAGCTAAACATTCCCTGTAGCTCCTTCACTATCAGCTGATGCCAGAATATAATAGTCAATGGTACTGTGTAAGTATAGTCGGCTGCTACTGTACGGCTACACCAATGCATCTACAGTATCTACAAAGTATCATGATGTCACCCTATTACCAAAACATAGAAATAAGGTGAAGCATGCTTTTTAATATTTATTAAGTCTAAAAACCAATATTCTCTAATGTATTAACTGTATTTGCTTAAGCTCACTACAAGCTTTGATGCTCACTACATCAAGTGAGCAAACAGCTTGGGTTGTTGCTGAAAAATGTGAAATCCTTTCAAAGTATACATTTGAAGTATTGTGTACAGGATAAGATTACCAATGGCACTAATGTGACTGTCATTTGTTCTAAACCACCAGGCGCTTTTAATCATGTGAAGTCCAGCCTGCTTGGCTCTACCTCTGATTCTAACATCAATAGGTATAGCACCATCCACAAGATCCCTCTGATTGCACTCAACTTCTCTGAGGGGACTGATAAGAAGGCTCATTCTCCGCCAACACCCGAGACAACCATCATAGCACCGAAGGTCAAAGACAGAACCCACAATGTCACAGAAAAAGTCACGCAGGTGAGTCAGTATGTTCCACTTTGTTTGATACTGCAGTACCTTCTGAACCATAGAGGCAAACTCTTCAGCCACCATCACAAGACCTGGGGTTTGATTCTCAATAATCCTTGGTTCTGTATTTCAAAGAACACAATTGGCTGTGTTTGATGGATGGTAGCTGGCAAAGGGATTATATCTTCATCACTGCACTGACTCTAAATGTAGTCATTTGATGGAGTACCTTGAAGGTGGGTTGTTGGATAGCGTGGTACTCTGATACACAGCACATATTACAGCTTGCTGGTGAAAACTTCAAAAAAAAGCAGCCGGTGACCCCATGGTTCACCGAGGTAACACATGACTGCATACTGCCCATCCAGGTCAACAGTGGAGGAGAGACATTAAGGACACAAGTGAAGGGCATTCCTAGCTGCAGAGAAAGTGAAGATAATATTGAGGAAAAAATGGGAAAATTCATACTCATCAACATCAGCTAAGAGTAGTTGTTTGAGGAATGGAGACAAAGGACATCCCACTGATCCCTCGTAAAATAATTCATCCTTTTACTTGCGTGCCTTCTGTATGGATTCTTGCTCAAGGACAATGCAGCAGGAGTAACACTTCCTGTCACAGGGGATATCTAGTCGCACAATTCCCTGTTGACAAGACCAGCAGCACAGCTGCTGCCAGCTTGCCAAGGACAGCTAAGAATGCAGGCATCCAACCCAATTTTGATTAATAGATGCCTATGTTTCACCGGATTATACATTCAATAGAAAGTCAAAAGTCATTGAATAGCTTGAATCATCCTGACGAATAATTTTGTTAGGTATAAATAGCCACGAAAACTTTGTGAAAGTGTCACTACAACAGAAAAACAATACAGCTACTTTTGGGCAATGTTAGCAACAACCAAGCACAAGAGAGGCCCAGCAACCTAATATTTAAACATCTTTCAACAGACTCATTCATAAATAAAGACAAATCATCAACATGATTAGCCTTAGTCCTGCTAACTGGGGTACCAGCAAACCACTAAGGTATACTTTTCATCATATCTCACAGGTGCTTTATTCTATCATTCCAGTTGTTCATGACTTTGTTCCTAATAACTTCATGTCATTGTTTTCTGTTTCTGTTTTAATAAGTGCTTCTTCAACCACCCTTATACCCATTTATACCAATTTATACTTGGGGACCCCAGTCAAAAGCAATGGAAAAGCATTTTTGATAGATGTAATTGTTTATTAACCTATTGCACACTAACAGGGGTGTTCTGTCAGTCATTTTGAAGGAGACAGACACAGATGCAGCAGATATAGATTTCCTCATGTGCTCTCTCTATTTTCGTCTTGTACAATATGCAAATGAACTGTCACTTTCATAAGATAGAATAATAATGTGTTCCCAGGGCCCCCAATCGATAGTCCTTGTATGTTTATTATGTTGGTAGGATGAGAGTAAAACACTCTCCCTCCCTGCTGACGTTAGTTTGGAGTTTTGAAACACTGCTGAGACGTGAACACTGCATCTACTTCCTGACTGCTAGCATGGGAAAATCCATAATTCATGTGTTGAGGATAGGGGAATGTGCTGAAATTAATAGAGGGACCCGCCGCCCTCATCCTCACTCCTGCACTATTTTCTGTCCTCTCTCTTTGTCTGCCACTGCTTATTAAGCCAAAAACAGGGGACAGCTTGGCCTTCCTGAGCACACTGAATAATTTATCCTCCAGTCAGAGTTCATTCACATGGGGAAATAAGTGATTTTTGTTGACCAAAATATATGTATAAAAATATATATCAGCACAGTTTATACAGCTCTTCTCCAATTTATCATTCAGACAGTAAAGTACTTAAACTGTTTCCCAAGAATGTGGAAGAAGTAAGTGGCAGTCAAATTATTCATGGGGTTGGGACATAGGCAATCTACTTGTCATCCTGGAGTGGCTGCCTTTACCTAATACTGTTTGACTGCAGAGCACTTACCTTTGTGTGTCACAGTTGCTGTTGAATCAGTTTTCTTGAAGGCTTCGAGCTGGATAAATTACCTGGTGGGCTTCAGCAATTAGGATCATAAGAATTAAGTATGAAGGTGTCTTTAATTCAATTATCAGAAGGATTATCAGCAAAGAAAAACACCATCAACATCAATTTAGACAGGTGACAGAAAATACATTTTTCAGTGATCCTGTTCAATTAAGATGTTCATCCACAATACATTTAAGTGACATGTAAAGTTGGAGTGGCGTAATCAGGTGGTTTACCTTACTGTCCTGACCCTCTCTTACCACTCCCGCAGGTCCTGTCCCTCGGAGCTGATGTCCTACCAGAGTACAAACTCCAGACAGCCCGCATTGACAAGTTCACCATCCTTCACTACAGCCCCTTCAAAGCTGTGTGGGACTGGCTGATCCTGCTGCTGGTCATCTACACAGCAATCCTCACTCCCTACTCTGCTGCTTTTCTTCTCAATGACACAGAGGAACAGAAGAGGCGGGAATGTGGATACTCCTGCAGCCCTCTTAATGTAGTGGATTTAATGGTGGACATCATGTTCATCATCGACATCCTCATCAACTTCAGGACCACTTACGTAAACGTGAACGAGGAGGTCGTCAGCGATCCAGCTAAGATTGCAATCCATTACTTTAAAGGCTGGTTCCTTATAGACATGGTGGCGGCAATCCCCTTTGACCTTCTTATCTTTGGCTCAGGATCAGATGAGGTATGTTATCTCTAAAGCATATATTTCTTACCTGTTTTGTTTTTTTTCTCCCAGGGAGCTTTCCTGCACATCAACCCGGCCATGCTTGCCCTGTTATCTATTTACTAAGTCCGGACTTGTGCCCCTGGGCCACTATTAAAGCCTGAATCTTTCTGCCTCGGCTTTGAAAGGATTACTTTAAATTGCATGTTTTTTTCATACTTTTTTCTCTTTTTTTTTTTTTTTGAATGGTCCTCATTCTAGAATCCATTTACACGGATTAATAGCTTACCAAATGGCAATCAATGATGCATTTATGTGAGGAGCAGGCCAACAGGGCTGTGTGCACAGCTTACGTGCAGATGTGAGATGGCCATTGGTAGGCTGGCTGCCAGGCCTGCTGGCTTGTTTGTTGGTAGGATATGTCCCCTCAGGCTCTAGATCTACTTCAGTGCTTTACCGTGCTTTGTAGGCACTCCATTACACCAGAAAAGCTCCTGATTACAAACCATAATCATCTTTTCAGCCAGGCCGGCTGCTACTGAGTCAGTTCAGTGAATCACAACAAAACAGAAAGAAAATGGACGTTTCTTTCCCCCACAAGACAGTGTACTGTAACAAAGAAATCACAAAACAGTTCTGGCAAATCTTCTCAAAAAGTTGCACGTAAAACATATAATCTTTTGCGTCTGGGAAATCAACGCAAACGATAACATTATAATGAATAATAATAAATAGCCTGTCACTGTGATAACATGCCGATACATTGCTTGCAGTTGCAGCTAACCAGCAGGGTCTTCATCATTTTCAGACTGAACATGCAACGTCCCACTCAACGGCATTCTCATTCAAAAAATAAGAAACAACTGAGACAGTGGCAGATGGTTTTCACAAAGCTCGTTTAATTTAGCAGCTTAACGAGACGGTTTTAACCTACAAGCGCTAAAGTTAACCTTTTGATTGGAGCAGAGAATATATTTGTCTTCCCACAAGATTAAACATACTGTGAGAGGCATTATGCAAAATTGACACCATGTAGGGTTTTGTTAATAATGATAATGATTATAATAGAAATAAAAAAAACAAAAGATTTATTTCAAGCTGTTTCACTGTGAATGTGGTCGGAAAGAAGTTGAGTGCTTTGTCCCAACTTGAACCTACTAAATCTTGTACCCATTAGAGAGGAACAGGGAGAGAAGAGGGGAGGGAGGGTTGTAGTGCTGTGCAGCTGTGTTTCAGTATGAAATTGCTTGTTCAGATACATTTTAGACTTAATTGAACTGCTATTTGATTGTCGAGTGCACTTTGCCTGTTGGCTCAACCAATGCGTGATTTTAAAGGCTTTTAAAATGAATTTTAGTCATGAAGCAACTACCAAAGAAAACAGAATAAAAATCCCTGCGTATGGCACCATTATAACCAATAGAGAGATATAATTTAAAGCACAACAAAGAGAATGGTTGTTGGCTCATTTTTAAACGAACATTTGAAGACAGGTTTTGAAGGAACAACTGACTTTGTATACTGTTAACCCAGATAGAAACAGTTGTGGAAGTGAAAGATTCAAAAGTAGTGGAGCTATCGTTAAACAATTTTAACTTCATTCAGGAAAAGAAACGGAATGAAAAAAATGTCAGCTTTTAAAAAAAATGTTTTTTATTTTTTAAGAAAATCAAGATTGAAGGCGATGCTATAGTGGTTAAAAAGGAGAGTGTGCAGACATTAGACATTCACTAATTGTCAGGTAGATAAATGACCGTTCCAATGGGAATGGTAGTTAGTGCTGCTTAAACCTTTCTTGATGACACAGAAGCACCAACAAACTCCCAGGGAGCCGCTGAGAGAGTGTTACTGCCCGTTCGGTGTTGAATAAATGAGGATTTATCTGTGTGCTGCTGGTGTCTTAGCATCTGTGTTCATTTGCCTTTGGCCAAAGAGCTGTGGGGAGTTGCCACAAGGGAGTCTTTGTCTTTTTTCCTTGTTACAGAAACTCATTACCTCAGTTTGTGACGTGACCCTCTGGATTTATCACTGCTTTAGATTTGTTGTTGACAGAGCATGTCAGAAGATGTGCCTGTGGTAGATATGCAGCAAATAAGGTTGTTTCTTGATAATTGCATGACAAATGAAATGTCCCATACTGAAACCAGATACATTTATTATAATAATAATGTTTTACAATACAGTATTATTATAATACTGTATTATAATAATACAGTATTATAATACAGAACTTTTGTTCAGTTAGTTTGACATATTAACATTCAAACTACTACTGCTATTACTAATAAAATGCCCTGCTGTACTTTTTGTTTAGACCACCACTCTGATTGGCCTGCTGAAGACAGCTAGGCTCCTGCGTTTGGTGCGTGTAGCGAGGAAGCTGGACCGCTACTCTGAGTACGGTGCGGCAGTCCTCATGCTGCTCATGTGCATCTTCGCCCTCATTGCCCACTGGCTAGCCTGTATATGGTACGCCATTGGCAACGTGGAGAAGCCCTACTTGGAGCACAAGATTGGCTGGCTAGACAATCTGGGCGTGTCTATAGGAAAGAGATACAACTACAGCGACCCGAACTCTGGTCCCTCTATCAAGGACAAGTATGTCACAGCACTTTACTTCACCTTCAGCAGTCTGACCAGCGTGGGCTTCGGAAATGTTTCCCCAAACACCAACTCAGAGAAGATCTTTTCCATCTGTGTCATGTTGATTGGCTGTGAGTATGTTTTGGTCTTTTTTTTTTATTTTATTTGAGCATAACTTTATTCTGCTTTTATCTGGCGCAGCACTTGAAGTGGACTAAAGTCATGAACTTCAGTTTGATTAGATCTATTGCATGTATGTCCATCCTGGGAGAAGGATCCCTCCTTTGTTGTCCTTCCTGAGGTTTCACCTGTTTCCCAATTATAGTTTTTTGGGGGGAGTTTTTCTTGATCGGAATCGAGGGTCTAAGCACAGATGATTGTCTGCTGCACAGATTTTGTGCAGCAGACAGGCAAATTAGTGATTTATGATATTACTATGATATGACTTGATTTGGCTTGACTAGACAACAGGTATCTAACTTACCTCTTTTATTGATCATTGTTTGTATTTCAGCCCTCATGTATGCCAGTATTTTTGGAAATGTCTCTGCCATTATCCAGAGGTTATACTCGAGTACGGCCCGATATCATGCTCAAATGTTACGGGTCAGGGAGTTCATTCGCTTCCATCAGATCCCCAACCCACTGAGGCAGCGACTGGAAGAGTACTTCCAACACTCCTGGGCCTACACCAATGGCATTGATATGAACACGGTAAGTAAAAGGGATCACCACATCTAACTGTTATTTTAACTGGATAGCATGCCCAACAAAATGAACTGATCTTAATGATATTATAAATGCTGAATATGCAAGATTCTAAAAAGATCTTTCTTTCTCTTGTCTGCTTTTCATTTGGATTAACATCCCTACATTGGTAAGAGCAGGAGGTACATGTTTTTATTTCTTGTCATTTTCATGTCACTGTTTAAAATAACAACCCCATTATCCAGACAGTGTCAATATCAGAAATGCCATCACTTGCAGTATGCATGATTTGTGTGAAATCATCCAATTATTATAGTATATTTCATATCCTAAAGCAAATAAATCATATTTTAGAGCGAATTATGCGAGGGTAGTAGCATGCACTGAAATGGCATTTTGTCTTGTTTTAATTCCATCTGAAATTGTAATTGCAATAACCGTATATGTAACTTTTGCAGGCAACTACTATATTCCTCAACAATTCATGTGTTAATGTTTTGCTTTTTTATTACTTTTAATGTTCAAGTAGATATATTCGATTGATTCAAGAAATATAAGTTTAGGTATTTAAGGCAATATCCCAAGATTAAGTGCCTACTTACTAATTAAGGCTTTACAATCCCATATATTGGCTCCTCATCCATCATATAATATATAATATATACCATATAGTGGGATAAAGCATAAAAGGTGTGATTATTAATGTGGTTACTGGTCAGAGAAGTCTGTTTTTCTACTTTAACAAGTTGTGTAAAATGAATAATGTTATGCAGTCAATTATTTCCTTTAAGGTGGATGCATACATCAAAAGTCTGTTTAATTCATGGCTTCTACAATTGAATTGAGGGTATAAAAATGGTCGCTTCTTTGTTGCTTACATTATATCACACAATACACTTTTCCCTAATATGATGTGTTACCAGTTAAAGAAAAGAAAGAGACAAAGCCAAAACTGAGTAGGCAGTGTGGGGCTTTTTGGTTATTTTTACATACGACATTTGGTATGAAATCAGAAATTGTTACATCTTGATATAATTAATATGAATGCATCTTGATTAGGAAACAGTATCGTGTCCTATTACATTTGAGTGTGGTCTTCCAATACTCTGTATGACTGTTTAATGGGTCTATAACTCTCCACTTTTGTTTCCCTCATATGTCCTTATCTCTATTGTCAAGCTAAATTACAACTTCTCTTCGTAAAAGTACATTCATCTTAACACATTTGCTGCTCACAGCTTCCCACTGGCTCGCAAAACAATCTCTTTGAGATTATCAAACTCAATATTTTGTGCATTTTGACTCACCAATTTTCTCTGCATCACAGGTCTTAAAAGGTTTTCCTGAGTGCCTGCAGGCAGATATCTGCCTTCACCTCAACAAGAGTCTTCTTGAAGACTGCAAAGCGTTCCAAGGAGCCTCCAAAGGCTGCCTGAGGGCCTTGGCCATGCACTTCAAAACCACTCATGCCCCTCCTGGAGACACTCTGGTCCACAGTGGTGATGTGCTCACCTCTCTCTACTTTCTGTCCCGCGGCTCCATTGAGATCCTGAAAGATGACATTGTGGTAGCCATCCTGGGTAAATACAATGCCTTGTTGCTTATGTGAAATATGATAATGGGCAACACTAAATTAATAAGATATTGTTATGGCCGTCCTATGAAAGCTGAATAAGTTATTAGTGGATTTATTCATCTCCTTTGAGCTAAGATTGTTTTTCTTTGACCTTTTGCCAGTTTCCATCATCAGCATCAGGAATTTAGTGACACTCTCTAGTGAATAACTGCAAAAGTCACCTCCCTGTTGTATTGAAGATCTGCCAGCTGATTGTGTGTTGAGTGGCAGCATCAAACCTGTTGAGACAGAGATACAAACCCTTATTCCTCTGCTTTTGTCTGAGCTTGAAAGAGGAAATGGGAGTTCAAAAATTATATTATTCTGACCTTAGTGCTAGTTGTGTGAGTTTGCATAAGTAAATTTAGTTAGTGCAATCAATATTTTACAATTTAGGTAGAATATATACTATGGTTGTTTTTGACGTTTTGTTGAATTAAAATATCTGTGTTTACATTTTGTATGAAAAGTATTTAAAGTTAGCTTCAATCTTTGGCTTTTTGTGAAGGGTATTAATTATGTAGTTTATTCTGATTGATTGAAACATTTGAATTATTGATTGAGCTAACATCCTACTCCGCCCAGGATGCTTGATATTTTCAGATATATGGAGATGCTGCGGTCATAAGTTCAGGAAAGGATATACAGTGCAGTTTCCTAATGGACACACGCTAGTTCAACACAGTTAAAGGAGGCTCAGCATGACTTGTGTGCACATCAAAGAATTAAAGGAGCAATATATGACATTCTGAGCATTAGCAGCACACAACTGTGAGCTGTGTGGTGGAGTAATGTCTACCTGAGCAGAGAATGAAGTCACTCTCCCTCTATGGGTGTTTTTAGTCGTGGTTCTCCTTGCTTTGCTCTATCAGCACGTTTGCCATAGTTTCTACTGTTTTTTCCCTGTTAGCACCGCTAGCTACGAGCAGCCGGCATAGGCATAGCCATGTTGAGAGCCGTTGAGAGGCAATCTAGATATTCCGCATCTTGTATCTTACACCGTCAACTGAATCGCTTTCAGGTTATTGCAGCAGCTGAACCACATTGTGTTCACACGTTTTGACAAGAAGGGCAAGGTGTGCCTGTTCTCTGGGCAATAAGGCTGTTCATGTGACAGGTTTCTGAGTTTGACATTTCTATTCAGTGGCTCCATGAAAGGTTGTTTGGCGATTTCAAAGAACATGGTGAAATAGCTGCCACTTTTTTGACAGCACAGGGAAATGATCTAAATCTGCAAAATGGTGATTGTAAAAAAAGGGCAGACTAAATTGACTAAAACATTTGCCAGCTTTAAATGTGAAATACAATTTCCCAAGCAATGTAGTGGTACTGAATATACACTACTCTTATTAGAATGATGAGTATTTATCTTTTACTTCATGGGTGAACCACAACCAGGTGCTGCACGCCAAGCCTGGATTAAACTTGCGATGAGATGAATGCTTTCCAAAGCTGCAACTGACAGAATGGGGTTTAAGCTTAGCAAAAACTGCTGCATCACACAAAATCCATTATTAACAAAAACACTGGTAAAGTCACTGATCTCGTAGATCGGCCCCTTTATAATTGATACAACCATAATGCTCCATCAGCATAATTTTGCTCCAAACTGTCCCAGCTCCTAACAAGGTAGTGGTCAGCCGATGGCCCTAAAGCATTTTCCTCTAGTAATGAGTCCAACAAGGCTGCCAGCATTATTCCTCAGGTGAGGAATTAGTCTCTTACACCTCCATCCAGGCACTGATGAATTAAATCTTTGTGCTGAGAGCTGCATGTGGGGGAGAGATAAACCAATCTGTGTGAGGCTGTGCTCTGTGGCAGAAAGGTGTCTGGTGCTTGCTGTGATAGGCACACTGGCAGCCAACGTATCATATCTCATTCTGCTGAACCTCTGCTTACAGTGTTGGCATATAGTGAACCCCGGCACCAACAAAGGGATTTTTCATCGTGGCCTTTAAACCAGACCTGTCGTCCTTTGCTAAATTGACCCTTATTTAAGCAGGATAAAGTCCGGTGGTACACTACTTGACTTCCTAGAAGTTTGCTTAAGAATTGGCTTCATTATGTGATTGCCGTTATCGGCACACATTCTTCCTTTGAAGTACACAAGTGTGTCAATCCCAGTCAAAACCTCCTCTCCCTCCACATCAAAGTTGCTTTGAGCATAAATAATGGATCAAAGATAGAAAGACAACTGATGCACAGCCCTGGAGAACATCTATACAGAGAGGGAAGACTGTTTGATTTTTATTGTCCACAAAAACAAACACGTCTGTGCCCTTTAGTGAGAACCTTGGGAATAGCGAGATACATCCCTAAAGAAAACAAGACACAAGTTATTCTCTATATTGCTACCTGTAGATATAAAAGCAGGTTACACTGACATGTTCCCTATCCCAGTAAACATTTGGAGAAGATGTATTGTCTCTGTGTGTGTTGATACCAGGAAAAAATGACATCTTTGGAGAAATGATCTGTCTGTTGGCCAAGCCTGGGAAGTCCAATGCTGATGTGCGAGCTCTGAGTTACTGTGACCTGAGCACCATTCAGAGAGAAGATCTGCTAGAGGTGATCGACATGTACCCAGAGTTTGCCGACTATTTCTTCAACAACCTTGAGCTTACCTTCAACCTCAGAAACGAGTCTCCAAAGGTAGATGATATTGCATTGTTATTCAGGGAGCCACGTTCAATTGATGCTATTCACATTGTCATGAATGGATCTTCACAAATATTCTTAAAAGTATGATATTTATATTATAATTTTGGATTTTACTTATCTTGTAACAATTCAAAATCGATCAATGTTGTCAACAAATTGTATTAATTAATAGATTATAATATTCACATTGTTGCAGCCCTCAAGCTGCCAAGGCGGTGATTCAGATGGCGAGGGCAGTAAGAGCATTAAAAGAAGGATCTCCTTCACACCGGATGTATCTAAAGGTAAGTGGAAACTAAGATGCACATCTCCAGTACAGCCTCTTGTGGTTGCAAATGTGTTTTTTGTTATTGTTAACTGAGTGGAGCTCCCTAGGAGCATCTACTCCACATGGAATACAGAGCAGCGCTATTCCACTGACTCCTGTTGATTGCCGTTCTACAGGGGAAAGCAGGGAAGTGGTTAAAGACTTGAGTAGGGAGAGGGAGTCCAACTCGTGCCTAAAGAGGAGTTCAGAAGTCCTTTGTACCTCTCCACCCAACGCCCCAGTCCTGGAATCAAATCTCGTTGTCAGAGAAAACGTGGAGAGAAGACCATCCTTTGAAGGTAATACATTTTTGTTTTACTGATGAGTATTTTATTAATGTAAACTTTACTGTTTTGACAAGTACTCGTGGAGAAGTGTTGCTAGGGGTTCCTGGGTGGTGTAGGGCGAAAGGCATGACGATGGGAAGCCAGTGTGGGATTATGTCCTTGTTGCTGTAATAGAAACTCTCATGAAATGGTTGGAGCAAATGTGTTGAGGTGGCTGAGATCTTCCGAGGCTTCCAAGGCTAGTTTGAGTGATATATCCATCATTTTAAAGGCTTGTCTTACACCAAAACACTTTGTTGTGGGAGCTTCAGGTGCCCAATGTTTACAGCTTTATAGGGATTTAAAGACCATTTGCAATAATGAAACACGTCGTTTACTAAACCAGTATGCTTGATATTAAGTTGCAACCTCACTCGCACGAATGAAACAGAAATACAGAATACAGAAAGAGGAAATTACAAATGTACAGTCTTCTTTCTTTTCTCCAAGGAGTCTGCCGCAGAGATATAAAATACTTTACAGTAACTGACAAACCTGATAAAGAAATTGCAGGAGTTTGTATGGGCAAAGCACATCCTACTGATAAGACTGGCTGAGAACAGAAAACTGAGTGACAGACTGAAGATATTGTTAATCTCTACTGTTAGACGGATACAGAACATAAGGCTGCATAAGGGCAATGGTAAGTGCCATCCATGGTCAGGGCACACACAGCATCCTACAAGGGTCCAGCCACCTGCACAGACTGCTGCACCAGATAGTGTAATCACAGAACGTGTGTGTTTGAAATCACAAAAGAGGCTGAACACATACTGTATCATTGGACAGCAAGCTGAACACTAACAGGTGCCCGGCAGAGATAACAGGGTTGGTTTGCTACTGGAAAACATTGCGTTGATTCTCCCAGTTCACGAGTTTGATGGATTACAACAAACAACCTAGAGATTAATTACGTTCTAATTTAGTGGGGGGAGGGTTCTTTAGTAATGACGTTGTTGTGACCCATATGTGGGGATGTAAAGCATGTGTGTCGGTTTGGCTCTCCAGATCTGTGCTGTGATAAATGGGCCTGTAAGAAACCTACGGACTACCTGGATGAGTCAGCACAGTTCCAGGACCTGAGAGAGGACGATAATTCTACCAGCGAGATCACGTATGGAGAGGTGGAACAGCGCTTAGGTCAGCTTCAAGACCACTTAAACAGGTACACATTTTCAAAGTCAGCATACAGGGTGTTGATCCTCGTGTAACACATGAACACATAAACGGTGAATTACACCAGAATGTAAACTTTACCAGTTTATAAACCAGTGTATGATTTTTTTCTTTTGTGGTCTAAAATGGTTTCTTGTTGTCACCAGCACAGAAAGTGCTTTACTTTTTTTCTTTATCATAGATTTACCCAGTGCTTAATTTGTAGATCAGGAGACCCTGGAAAACAGAGAGGAAAACTTTTTTGGTGGGTCAGCAGGAGAGAAAAAGTCACTCATAGCATCAAATATCCACAGTGCCTGGAGCACATAGGACATCAGGTGCTAGCTGTTAAAACTGTCATCCCTAACAAGACATTATTCATTTACATTTATTAAACAGAGCATTCACAATAATCATTAATTACTTATTAATTAATTAACAATAATTTTGCACCAACGTCCACTTAGACTTGAGGGTAAACTGTTCCAAATTTGATGAACGAAGGTAACTGTGACTTCACAAAACACGTTTTTGGCCATAACTCAAGAATTAATGTGCTAATTATGACAATTTCACACAAAAGGTCTAATTAGATAAAATTATGAAGTGAGGACAGTTTGGACAGACATAGATGTAAACTGCAAGTTAACTGGTTGGCAGAGAAATACAACAAGAATGCGATAATTCTAATTGTTCATATTTTGAAGAAATAATACAATTAAATTCATGGTTATTCTTATCAATTATCCTGCCATTCAATTTTCAGTTAGTGACTTCATGATAATAGTGTGCCTTATATTTTAAAGTTGTCACCTCCTACACTGCAAAAAGTAAGCCACACTCTTCAATCACTGGCGACGTGTAGTTCAATTGCAATGTGCATGAGTGGGTGGACGAAGACAACTAGCTGGCAGGAGCCGTTGTCGGACTCAGAGTGGGAGGCTGGATTTACTGGAAGCAGGATAATGTACAGTACCGCTGCAGAACCGGAACTAATTAAACTTGAGAATGGTTGGTTACAACATTTTGCAGAGTTTGTAGTACTCAGAATCTAAAACTGATGACTGAGAACAGAGTATGTGTGAAACATCTCGGAACAAAAGCCACTCTCGAGCTAAACTCCCTGTAATTTAAACAATAGATGAGCATGCAAGCTACCTTTCCAGAGTGAATACATTTCATTTTAGTGTCATTATTTTCTGTAGCGGAGAACTACACTGGCCATAGTTCTAACAACACACCTGCAGGCTGCAGGCCACCTGAAATAGACACACAAATGAACAGCAGGTGGTATTTTTAGCTGGAATAATGACAGAGAACAAGAAACGGCATCAGGGTGCGGGAAATACCGGGCTGGCTCATTTTATTTCACTGAAAAAACATACATTTTATCCAATGCACTCTACCTGACCTTGTTTTTTCCCCACCAATGCTAGCTAGCTGCAGGAGGAGCAGCACGTTTCTGTCATTTTGTGCTTTTGTGGCTTTGACTGGTCTGAAAGGATATGACAGGAAAAAAATGTTGTTGTAGCACAGTGTGGCTGCTTTATCCCTCATCAGTCATAACCTAGAAACAAATGCTGCCTTGTTACAATAGGGCAGCACAGAGACACAATAGAGACTTAAGACATGACATTGCCCATGTAAATTTGAATTATTATTATTAATTATTATTATTCTTAATTATTATATAAGGTTATTTAGCATTACCCAGTTTTGCCTGACGCTCTAAATATAGAGCTTGGATGAAATCTACTCATAATTAGATTTACCAAATGTGTGTGGTATAGTCATTTCCACAGTAAACGCTAAATTCACACCTCCCACAGAGAGCTCATTATCACACCTAGCATGAGCAGTGTCTTCCGTTTACTATTCTGGCAGAACGTGTTTCCACTCCTTTATCATCTCTTCATTTGTCCACTGTGGAGCAGAAGCTCAATGTAGTGTATGCAGTGAAGTACAGCTGGATTCGTTTTCAGCCATTGCATGATCAGACTTCATCTCCACTGTGATCATCTTTCTTTTTTCTGCTCTTTTTGAGGCTGGAGTCTCAGCTGATGACAGATATTCAGACCATCCTGCAGCTGCTGCAAAGACAACCGACGCTGGGACCTCCAGCCTACAGCACTGTGACTGCCAGTCCAGACTATCACAGACCTGCTGTAAAGGTTCAGCCGGTTGCACTGACTGCAAGCCATTTTTTCAGCCATACAGGAACTCAAGTAAGGAAAGAGGTAGACAGTTTTTTCCCCACACAATTAGCTATTTTTGCACATATGTTCATGAAGGATTGCATTTTTTTCTGGCAGAGCAGGGAAGTAATGCGTCAGCTGGCTTTTACAATCACCAATCACATTCTCACCAAGTCATCAGTGGTGTTGAAGGAGACAATGAGGCAGTCTGTATAATCTGACAAGCTCCCACTGTTTCTTATTGCTTAGCTGCAACCTGTTTTGAATGATTGGTAGGCATGCCACAGTGTCGGCCAGAAAGTCTGAACAATCAGGAACAAATCTGAGCCATTGTCTGACACCATCTCAATTGTCTGGATGACATAAGCCTTACCCATATGGGAGTCAATACAGGCTAAATTTAAAATACAGTAGTTTTTATTTAGTTTTTTTTTTCATCAATAATTGCCTTTTTTCTGGAATTTATAACTTCACAATTACAATCAAAATGATAAATGACAATTTTTTTATTTTATATTCTGCCACTTTTCTTCTTAGGGCCCCAAGCACAAACTGGAGAGGACCATTCAGGAATCCAAAGACTCTCTGTCGAGCTTGGCCAACGTGAATGCCCCCATCGAGGGCAGCCTTACAGCGTTGCTTGTACAAAGACACACAGAGCCGCAACAACAGATCACAGGGCATCAACAGTCTGCACTGATCCTTCTTCCAACTGAAACCTCTTCCACCTCCTCCTCTTCCTCCCCAGCCCCTTCTGACTCCAACCTGAACACCACTGGACTCAAACCTGTCTCAGACTCAGAGTTCCCAGGGCCATAAACCTTCCAGCAGCACGGTGTTCTAATATCTGGGTTGGATTGCTGTAATTACTTTTTAAGTAGCGGCTTTTTATTGGCATGCTGGCACAGACATCTGTATTGTTCATTTGCATTGACTTGGTAATAGTAGTAAGATGTTTGTTTTTTTCATTATGCATGTGGATGAAATACTGTTGCTGCAGTTAACAGTGTGTTCAACTGTTTACTGCAGTTATCAGTGTAATAACAATGGTTACATATTGTAACAGTAGTTCTATTAACACAGAAGCTCTCTGATGGACTCTAGAAGGACAGAACTTCCCCATTTACTAAGTCGCCAGCTTCCTAACTAAGTTCAACGTAATCGGCAGGAATGCTGGTTAAAGCAGAACTCCACCTGGTTGTGATAGAACTAGCACTACAACACCTAATTGACTTTCTTTTTCAACCAGCTTTGTTCTCTAATGGGCTCTAATGGACTCTGTACCACTGCTCGTGACTCAACATGTTATGTCCCAACACACAATTGGTCACACTGGGCTAGACTGAGTGGGCAAGTGAGTCAGCCATAGCGAACACCACATGTACTGTATCAAATCGGGTTTTCACTTGATTCGTGGACCCCAGAAAGAGAGATAGAGATGTTAAGCCAACTGCTCCTCGTCATCCCCAGATATGGTTCCTGTAGGAGCTGAACATGATTGACAACACTCAGAGAGAGACCAAAAACAGGTAGAGACACTCAAAAAACACTCAAAGTCCTTCCTGGTCCTGCAGAGCAGGTATGGGTGACAGCAGCACCACACAGAAAGTCTCACAACTTCTTTGAAATCCTGAGCGTAGGCCAAGAAAAAGACAAAAGTAAGTCACCTGACGAACAAGGTGACAAATGTCAGCCACCAATCCTTCCTTACAAGTAAAAGCAAGGGAGGGGGGCAGTAAAAAGTCAAGCACCCAGATCACCCAACTGTATAGAGCAGAGATCTGGGGTTCCAGGACAAACACTGCCAGGAGAGTTTTTGTCCATCGACTGATGGAATTAGTTGATGCCTTCCGCATAGTCAACAGCAATAATTTATTTGGACAAGTATTTGTCAACAACCTTTTCAGGCCTTTTCCCACCCTTTCGTTTCTGTAGTCAGAAGAAGGAAAGGTTATCTCCCGATAAGCTGAGTGTCAATGGAGAGCAGCTACTTTACCACTCACTGCCAAAGTGGCCCTATGAGACAGGGAAATGCAATTGATCGCTAAGCTTCCTGTACTCCAGTTAGTGTAAATAAAGGAAGTAGAGATGGAGACCTCGACTTAAATTTGTAGTTGTTGGCGAGAGGTGGCCCACCTCTGTCACCAGGTCGTCCAAACAGTTTTCAAGTCCAACCTGAGACTTGGAAGCAAGGAATGTGAGCCAAATCTTTGGCCCTGTACTACTTTTGTGTCCTCATTGCCATCATACATGTACTGCATGATTACGTAAAGCACAAGAAGGGGACTTTGTCACAACAGGAAAATGGTGACGTAGCCATTCTTCCTCCAGCTGAAGCGTTGGCCTGGCACCTGACTCTGAGGCGCTGACAAGGCCATAGGTCAGAACACATACGGTGAATTTCCTCTGCTGGGATAGTGGCCACATGAACACCCTCAACAGTCACTGAGGAACCTGGAAAGTCCTGTTAGAGCCTGTTTGAGTATAAAGCCTGTGTGTGTTAAAACCTCTACCACTTAGAGGGCCTGTATACGGTTTTCTGCAGCTATTAGAGCAATACAGCATTATTACAAAGGTGTGAGAACAGTTTTCTTTTCCTTAGTTGTAGGCCCGTCTTCTCTGAAGTGTGACTCAGGGGTTGTGGAAAATTGCACTGCAATATATAGCACAGTATCAAGTATACTGTCGTTTTCTTCTTAAAACAATGTGCATTATTACTGTGCAACACTGACGTGCACCGACTGCACGACATTAAGCCAACAGAACGCACCATACATGCTTGTCCAGGTAGTTATCATAACATGCAGATTTAAGTAGTCTGTATTCTGCTGTTATCTCAGAGCTAGGACTCTGACAAACAAGTATGATGTAGATATTTCTACATGGCAGTGCATGTGTTTTCTATTTATATATTTACTGTTTTGCACTGTTTATGAGCCCAAAGTAGCACATTACAATATAAAATGATGTCAGAGTATTTGTCTCTTTTTAGGATGCACTTAAAGAGTGGGTTGGGGGAGAGAGGGGAAGGGGAACACATGGAAAGTTAGTACTTGCGCATAAACAGGCCCCAGAGAGGGTTTTGTGCCTATACAACCAATCCAAATGCTAAGTCAGCATCTTCATGTATAACTAACCATAACATCAATGAAGCATATCGTTTTCCTGTACTGTTTTTGTTGGCAATGTACATTCAATTTAAAATATTGTTAGACAATTGTTAGAAGATAAATACATGACATTGCAACTTGTTATCTTTTTTTAATAACTGAGTAAATTATATGAGAAACTCATTAGCAAAACAGTAGTAGATATGTTTGTTTTGAAGCTGTGGGAGCAATAAATGAAAACACACTTCTAGTTGTGTCACATTTCTCTTTTTAAGTCCATAAAGGTGTACTAACAATGCAAACACAAATTACTACAATATCACTTCTCCTCTAAAGTTGCACAAGCTTGCCAGAGCTATGCGCATGAGGTCAGGTCATCTATAGTGAGTCAATGTACCAATGATACAATGGTAAAGCTGTCCCGCCTTTGCAGGTGCTAAATGATAGTGAGGGAAAGAAAATCAAAGGATTTTAATCAGCCACAACTAACAACACCTGTGTGAAAGGACAATTGGTGTGTTGGGCCTTAAACTAAATGTACTTCTACTCACAAAGTTCCAAACAACATGTTGTACTAATATATCAATACATATGAACAAATGCAACACCGCTATAAACAGCTGAGTGCGAAAGTCAGTTCTTATAGGTCACTGTTAAAATAGAAAAACAGCTTTAAATACCTCAGTCAGTTGCAGGCTAATGTTGTAGGTCCTATGCAAAGACCCGTTATTGAAACGTATTATGTTACAATGCTGTCACTTGGTGGCCAGTTCAGTTCAGTGAATTTGATTACATGGTCGTTGACTTACCAAAAATTTCCAGATGTCCCAGTTTCCCACTAGCACCTAAACGCAGCATGCATTTGTGGATATGCGCGGAGCCGCACACCGTGAAAATAGTCTTTAAACTTTACGCAAGAGACAGTTGATGTAACCTGATCCGTATATATATCAGGCGATCCGTGCGCACGCGCTAAACGATCTAGAAATCCATAAATAAAAATGTCACAAATATTTTAGACATGTGTAAGCTTTTCGAAGGGGATTTATCAGACCGGTGGAGTGTAATTTGTGTATTTGCATAACTGTTTACAAGTGTTCAAATCGCTTGGTATTAGATTTGAACACGCATTTGTGAATACCGAATATTATTTGTAATTATTAATATTTGTGTATATCACATTTTTCATTTGTAGATCACGTAAAAAAAAAACATGTTTGTGTCCATTTTGAAATCGGTTTCACGACAGTTTAATCCGTGAGGGTTAGGGAGAATCGAAAGTGAAACGTTTTCATTTCCTTGATACAGTGAATCATCATTTTTTAGGGACGCTGGAGCGACCCTGTCGAGGCTACAGCGCGCTATCGATCACGCTGATTCGTAATGGCTTCGGATAACGATGATATAAATGAGCGTCTCATTGAAGACTATAGGCCGAGGTTGCGAGAGCTTGTTGTGGTCGATCGGGTTCTGGATCATATACAGTTTATCGAAACCGCCCAAAAGGAGCAGATCAGACAGAAGGCGAGGACCGATGGCAATATTGTGGCCACGGATCTCCTGATCTCCGCTGTTCTAAAGAAGCCACATGCCCATGGCTGGTTCAGGGCATTCGTTGACGCGTTGTTACATGCAGGTTGTGAATCTGCAGCGGAATACATGCAGGTCAATCCCCCAGAACCTGAAGTGGAGGCCGAGAATGATTGCTGTGTCAAGCTCATTCAATTGCTCTCTCCAAGTCTTGTGGACATGAAGACTGACGTTGTGTCCATTCACTGTTTCTCCAAACGCCTCCTCAGCAAGGATGACGTTGAGATTGTAAGTACACCGATCATATTTTAATCTGGAACTGAGTAGCACCTGGAGGATAATCAAAGTCTCACATCATGCACCCACTGTAAATGAATCAGTACAAATGGTTGTCACATGTAGTCTGTAAACAAACTTCAGTGTGTATAGTTTTTCCAGTTCCACTTTTTAAACCCCATGTCCCAGTAGATGTATTTGCAGTGATTGGCCACAAGATGGCAGACAAATGTAGGCTGTTTTCATCTGTTTTGCACAGCACAGTATCTCAATTCTGATAGCACAAAACCAGTCAATTATTATGCTCATGCTGTAGATTAAAACTGCAACGACAACCCAAGGAAACAGGAGTGGAGCCCGTGAACTTCTCAGTTGTATCGTGAGAGGTCGACCAGGATGGTTCTCTGTCTTTCTCGAGGTTCTGCGTGAAACTGAACACCAGCACCTCCTGTACGAGCTGACTGGAGGGTCACCTGACTCTAACAAGAAAGGTGACTCACATTACAGGAGCACACACCCAGTGCATGGCATGTCATCAATGAAGTATCTGTGTTTTGATTATTAATTAGATAAACATCTTTACTACCTACTTACTTACTAATTAAATTAACTGCCAAAGTGTGATTTGATTATTTCTCACTAGGCTCCGGGGAGAAACTGCCTTCAGTGAAAGACGAACCTATGGAAAGTGAAGCTCCAGCAGCAGCTAAAGGCGGTGATAGCCTGCAGTTAATGGACATCAGCTATACGGAGGAAGGAGAAGCAGGTCTTGCAGAACACCTTTGTTCAACAATCAGTGAAAGATATATTATATTCAGATGTCAGTGATAACAACTGGCAGCAGCCCTGATTCAGTAGCCTTTAAATTAAATAAGCTAAGTGAAATAAATTAATTTGGACATTCATACTGTCCAGTAGTAGCAGTTCATGGTTCAGTTTACCCAAATCACAAAACACATTTTTGTCATTTACCCGTTACCGGGTGTCTGACCATGTAGATCATTTTCATTTGCAAAGGTTTTATATGGACATGTTCATGAAAATTGTTTCTTTAGTAGATAATAAAACACAAGAGTCACATATGTCATCTCTGGTCCATAACCAGGTCTGTGGATTATCACGAGTAACTAGGACATTGCTCCTTGTAAACAAAATTCAAATAAATGTAAGTTATCAATGCCTCAAGGACCACCCACACAATTCAATCTACCTCCTTTGTTTTACTGAGAGGCAGCAGACATCTCCATCTGAAACTATCTGCATTGTTACCACCAGGGGTGAGAGGGGAAATCTTCCCTGTGGTAATTTTGGTGAACAAGTCTAAGATGTATCTCCTGCCTTTACCGACTGTGATTTGTATACCTTAGGTGATATCTCAGTATAAGCGTAGTCTTTTTTTCTTTTATAGTGTTAAGGGCTGAGAGAGCCAGGACGGATGCATTTCATTGCATTTGTAATAAACTAGAACGTTAACTCTCTTTTCAGACCTGTACGAAGGAGCTCCCACTGAATCCAGTCAAGTGCCAAAAAGCTCGAAGCCCTCACAACCAGGTGGGACTGATCCACCATCACTCACCCTACAGTTGTTGATACTGTTTATGTTTTTTAAGGATTCAAAGTATGGTAGCGATCTAAAAAGCTGGTTCTGGTCCCACACACGCAAAAACAAAACTCAAGTCATAGTGAGAGAAAAAATGTACGCTGGATGTGTAGATGCCCTGTAGTACCATAAAAGCAGAATGAGTGTGTTTGGAACGTGCTGTAAGTGGAACAGTTCAGGCTGCTTACCACCAAAGGATAAGTACCATGTGTGTACAATGATGGACCACATATAGGTCAAAGAGGACAAAGCCAGCGCTTCAAATGAAAACCACATGCTGCTATAATCGCGCATTGTAAAGTAATGTAAAGGAAAAGTTGCCTTCAAGTCGCTGTGGAGTGGGGCCTTCCATTACACATATAGACTTTCATTGTCTCAAAAGCAATCAAAGCGACTGCATCATCCCTCACCGCACCGTGCTCGTTTAAAGTGCCTCTCCGACATTGTGTTTGCATAATAAATGAGTGCTTTAGGGATAATCAGCAAAAGTAGAGCGGTGTGAACTAATGAGGTGGTGGAAATAATTACATGAGGTGAAGAAATGGAGGAAGTGTCTTTTATTGTCCTAATAAGAGGTTACAGTACAGGTTGTCTCATTAACATGAGTAATGACATTAGCCTGACTGGTTGGCCCAGGTTGCATGGATTAAACAGAAAAGATTACATGTAAGATTGTCCCATGTGCAGATTGATTTGTGGTTCTTCTTGAATTCATTTCACTGCACTGAATCAAACTGAAAAATAAGCCTGTGGATTTTCTGTTCTTTTTGGAACGATATTAAACATAGCTGATTGTTGACTTTCCTGCTCTAATAAGTTCAGCGTCAGGGAACTGCTCGTAAAAATACAGGGGGCCTCACAGGCCACTGTTTACTTCTTATTGTCTCTTAAGCCTTATCTCGCCATCGGCACAGACATGTATTTACTTCGATGTAGTTCCTTGAAACAGCACTTTAACCTCTGGCATACCCAGTGTGAGAGGGAAAATTAAAAGCTGTCTGCACGTAGGGGGAAAAAAAGCTTTCCGGGGGATTGAACTCATAACTGGGAGGAAACGTAGTACCTCTAGTTCAAGGTAGCAGAGAGGGGGGTGTATGTATCCCCTGCCTAGACAGAGCCAATGAGTCATTGCCCGCCAGCGACTTCAAGTCTGACTGAAGTGAATCACAAAGTCTTCTGTCCTTGCAAACAGGAAAATAAGACAAAATGCTGCCACAATCGACCTCAAGAGCAGGGAAATAAATGCAAGCAGATGTTAGCTTGTGCACGGAAACACTGTACATCATCTGGAGTTTGATTATTTTTGAAAGATTTGAGGCAGTTAAATTGTAATAATATTCCCCTTTAAATGAGACTTCCCATTTTATATTGCTAATGAGTAAAAGGCCAGATTACATAGATTTATCTGTATTTGAACAATGATATCTGCTGGCCTGCTTTTGGCACAGTTCTTTGAATCTTTGAACTTTATGGACTAAGCAAACATGATTTGACTGAAATGATTCATAGAGTGTTCGCATATTGACTACTGTACATAAGGCATTGGGGTTTTATCCGTGTTCTGTGTAGTTAATTCTGTGTTAATTGTGGTTTAAAATCAGGTGGGTTAACAATGAATGCCTGAAAGTCTGAATGCTCAGTGTTTATGTTTTAAAAGAAGAACGTATTCCATGAAATCAGTGCATATGCATAGAGTGTGTTTTGCATTTTTGATAGCAGCTTTAAGAAAACATTCCACCACAGGACCAAAACCCCAGACAATGACAAGCACAGTTATTTCCTGCTTGTGATGCCTGTAATTGTGGGTTGCTGACCTAGACAAGAAGTTGTGTGTGTCTGAGGGGCTCTGCTCTGCATTACAGATTCAGTAGCAGCGGCTGGAGGCCCAGAAAGAGCTGATATTGTTCTTCGAGATTATCAGATGGACGTCGCTAGACCTGCCTTGGAGGGGAAAAACATCATCATATGCCTCCCGACAGGAAGTGGTAAAACCAGAGTTGCAGTTTACATTACCAAAAAACATCTGGACCACAGGAGGACAGGGGGGCGTTCAGGGAAAGTGGTCGTCCTGGTGAACAAGGTACAACAACCTGACTTGAAACAGTTTGGCTTCGCACCACTACGCTGACCTACTTATCCGCTTTTCAAATCCAAAGAAAACATTCTATCTTTCAGTCAATTTGGACATGTGGGTCAGGTCACCACAAATTACATGCCGTACGGTTTAGACATTCCCCTGCACTTTGGTTCCATTTGGCATGCGTGGGATCTGCCCTGCACTGGAAAAGACCTCTACTTAATCCATTTTGGATTAAAGTTTCGTCAGATATAAAACTATCTAGTTGAGTGTTAAAAATAGCTTGAGAAATAGTGATCATATAGTGACTTAGACTGGTTCACTCTTCAACTCCGGAAAGAACAGAATAATAACTTGCCATGTCACTTCCCTGCAGTAGAGAGAGTAACTCACCCTGATGAATCACATATCTTTTAAATCATGGCACAACTAATGTTAAAAAACACCGATGTGTTAAACACACCCTCAAAGGTGTATTAATAGAAACGAGGCAGGTATTTCACAACACTGAATGTGCTCTTGTGTCCTGCAGGTTCCTCTTGTTGAGCAGCATTACTCTGCAGAGTTCTTGCCATTTTTGAAGCACACATACAAAGTGGAGAGAGTCAGCGGAGACTGCCAGCTCAAAATCTCATTCACAGAGATTGTGAAGAAAAATGACGTCATCATCTGCACAGCCCAGATCCTGGAGAATTTCTTGGAGAGGTCTAACAAAGGAGACGACGAAGGGGTGAACTTGAGCGGTATGGTTTTACAATGTGAAGGATCTGACACGAGAATGTAAAAAACGTTTCCTTGGCGCAGTCATTTCCTTTGGTTTTAGTAAACCTGATCGAAATATTTAAAAAAAGACCAGAATCAAAATTGAAATAAGGTCAAAACAACCTTATGTTTTATTTTTTAAAGGCTTCCTAAAACCTTTAGTTAAAATCTGTTCAGGCTTAAACCACAGACACTGACAGGTTTTGGAATAGAAAGCCACCCAGAGGACTCATAACACCTCCCCTGATGATACCTGACAGGATCTTGTCAAAGTCTTCCGGCTCTGCTGTTCACTATTGTTGGCATTCACCAGTCCAAGGTGGAATAGCCACCTCAGTGGAACATATGCTGTTTGTTGAAACGCCTGAGAGCGTGTCCTTTTTCTTTTTTTTCCCTATCTCCTGCCTTCCAGGCCACACGTCTGTTCAAGCCATCAGTGTGCGGCTGATCAAATTCACATGAGACCTTCTATCACACACAGTACATCAAGCTGCCACTCCTCCCTTCTCTTTTTCCTCCGGGGACAAATTTGTACTGGTTAAACTTTTTCGTGTCAATGATTATAATTCACCTCACTGTGACTTTTGCTAAATACAAAAAAAAAAATAAGTAATGAGTTAAAGCTTTTTTTTTTTAAGCGTTTTCCAGCATATGTTATTGTGTGGCTGAAACTGCTGAATCAGGTTCCTAGAAAAGTGCTGGTATGTGTGGGAGGATCTCTCTCACAGACAGATGTTATGATCTGTGAGTTAAAAACACCTCTATTTATTTAAGAAACACAAATAAATGTCATATAAATGGCACTGCTTTGGTTGAGAAAATTGTAGTCCCTGGATGGTAATGCTACAGTGAGACTCGCAGAAATGTTATTGTTTTGACAAAGCAAGCAGTATTCTTGCCAAACAAATGAATCTCTAAAGAATCTCTTTTTGTAATCCTCCATGTTGCTTTTTACAACTAGACTTCTTTGTGTGACATACTGTACAATACAATGCATTTATATGTTTGGCTGTCTTCTCTTCACGTAGATCTGTCACTGATCGTCATAGATGAGTGTCACCACACTCAGAAAGGAGAGGTCTACAACCACATAATGATGCGCTATCTGACACAAAAGCTCAAGAACACAAGGCTGAAGAAAGAGCAGAAGGAGCCCATGCCCCTCCCTCAGATCCTGGGCCTGACTGCCTCACCGGGTGTCGGGGGTGCCACGAAAATGAAGGCCGCTGAGGACCACATACTGCGCGTAAGTACTATTCTCAGCTTGCTGTCCACACCCATGTAGACAAAAGCACAGAGCACATATTAGGTACACCTGGCAAACTGCTATAACACCAGAGGCCATGGCCATAAGAATCACAGAAGAGATGAGTAACCTGTTGTGTCCACACTTACTTTCTTTGAGTAACACACTCCTGCCGTGTCTCTGCCTTAGTCAGCGAGGATCCTGTTTATCCAGCCAAGCTGCTTCAAATGTTCCACACAGCCATAAAGTTTCCTAGCGCCACAAAAGTCAAAAATTGAAAACAGCCTTTTGGCTTCGGCTCAACTGTGTCTGACATGCAGAGATTTTGTAGAAATAGTGTGTGTCACTAACATGCAGATGTCTGATTTTGGTTTATTCCAATGAAAATATGTCAATATGTGTCTCTTTCATAGATTTGTGCAAACTTGGATGCTTACAAAATCATGACGACAGACCTTGGGCAGTACCAAAGGGAACCGAGGAAACTGATTCAAACTGTTGAAGACAGAAGAGAGGTACATTTGTTTAACAGGAGATGACCTCATGGTAGCTTGTTGATACAGTTTCTCTCTCTAAGGAACGGCTTTAAAGAGTGTTATATGTTTGTGTCCTCTTCAGGATCCCTTTGGTGATGTAATCAAGAACATCATGAATGCCATTCATGCACATGCCGAGCTGAGCCCCACATCTGACCTTGGCTCTCAGAATTATGAACAGTGGGTTGTTCAAAAAGAGCGAATAGGTGAGCACCATTTTTTAATGCTCCTCTTCAGGGATACAAGCCCTTTGTCTTGCTTCCTTTTTTAAAACAAACCACCTGGCTTCTTGGATCTAAAACGTGTCTCAATTAATTCTAGCTGCAACGGAGGAAAATCAGAAAGTGCGGGTTTGCTCTGAGCACCTTCGACAGTACAACGAGGGCCTGAATCTCAGCAACACCATCCGCATGTGTGATTCCTTCAGTTTCCTGAACAAATACCACGAGGAGGAGATAAAGAGGAAAACAACTCCAGACGAGGAGAATGACATAAAAATCACAGATACTGAGAGATTCCTCTTCAATTTGTTTAAAGGTAGTGTGACTTGTTATCAATACTGTTAATGTCTTGTTGCATTTTAAGTCAATACTTGCTTACTTCCCACATTTTGGGAAATAAGCGTATTATGCTTTCTAGCCTGGAGTTAGATCAACTCTCATGCTAGCTTAGCTTAGCATAAAGACTGGAAACATAAGGTAACAGCTAGTCTGGTTGTGTCCAAAGGTAACAAAATCCACTAACCTAACCTAACCTAACCTCGTTATATCTTGTTTGTTTAATCTGTACAAAAGCCAAAGTGTGAAACTAGCAAGTCGTGGTTTCATGTGTAAGTTTCCACAGGTTTGCCTGCTAACCCAACGGCAATAACAAGACTTATTTTTAGGAACATTAACATCCACACATAGTTTTTTTCAATTTGGCTTTTGAATAAACGTATTTCCCACAAACTGTTCCTTTAACTTCAAAATTATACTAAGAATTTACCACAATGCTTTGAAATCCGATGCCTTGCAGAGAACAAGGAAGAACTGCAGAGACTCGCAGAGAGGCCAGATTATGAAAATGACAGCCTGTCGAAACTGAGAAGTAAAATTCTGCATGAGTTCAGCAGCAGGGAGGCGGCCAGAGGGATCATTTTCACCAAAACACGTCGCAGCGCCATTGCTCTAAGTCAGTGGATTCAGGAAAACCCCAAGTTTGCTGACATCGGAGTGAAAGCCTCTCATGTGATTGGAGGAGGAGACCAGAGTGTTGTTAAACCAATGACCAATGTGAGTGCACATCACACAAAACTGCAGCACATCTGCCTCTAGCAGCCTGCAAACTTAAAATATCACAATCACAATTAACCTCAATTGCGTCATTTATCAGACAGAGCAAAGGGACGTGCTGAACAAATTCCGCAACGGTGAAGTCAACGTGCTGATTGCTACCACCGTTGCAGAGGAGGGTTTGGACATAGCGGCGTGCAATTTTGTTATCCGCTACGGCCTTGTGACCAATGAGATTGCTATGATTCAGGTCAGTGATGTCTCTTGTCAAATGACCTGTGGTGTGAGTTAACGATTATAACTTATCTGTCCAGTAATGAAGGCACCATTATACATATGTATTACAGGAAGACATTAAAGTGGTTGTTTACCATTGACTGCCATTGACTTTTTTGCAGGCTCAAGGCAGAGGAAGAGCTGAGGACAGCAGTTACACTCTGGTTGAGGTGAAGAACTCTGGGGTGGCCGAAAAGGAGTGTGTCAATGAGTACCGCATTAACATGATGAACAAAGCCATTACCAAAATCAGAGCCTTAAATCAAGCGGACTATGACAAACGGGTACGTTCTCTTCAGACTGTTTTTAAACTGAAAGCTACATTCCAATAGGACCACTCTGGGTGATGTTTTTTATTCTTTTTTTTTATCAGATCTACGAGTTCCAGTTTCAGGCTATAATGGAGGAGAAGGTGAGAATGTCTAAGAAGAAGCAGAAACGCATGCAGGATGAGAAGTATGAAGTGAAGTTTAGCTGCCGAAGCTGCCCCAAACACGTCTGCACAGGCGATGACATCCAGATCATCGAAAACATGCACAGAGTCAATGTTACACCAGAGTTCAGGTACGAATCACAATTCAGAGTCGACTTTTACATTATTCCGTGATGTATAAACTGTCTCCCACAGCTGTAGTTATGCTCTCATCATGAATTATATCCTGCATGCTTAGCTAATCTGTCCAAATCTGTCCAAATTCAATTTTAATTTGGACTTCTTTTCTTTTACAGTCAACTTTTCACAAAGAGAGAAAACCCTAGTCTTCAAGAGCGACTTCTGGATTATGAGACGAATTACTACATAGCATGCAAGAACTGCGGGCAGGTAAATGAAAAATGTTCTTTTTTTAATGGGACATTTGGGGAAATGCGCTTATTTTCTTTCTTGCCGAAGGTTATATGAGAGAATCAATACTACGTTCATGTCCGTCCATTCAATGTGAAGCCATGAATCTGCATGGAACATTCAGAGGGACTAGTGGTGTACAGCTGTCTCTTCAAACAGAACAAGAGAAATGTTGGATATGAGACCAGTCCAGTAGGAATGAAAATGAGTCAGTGGATCACATGAGAGATAACTACAACCAGATGATTCCAATTATTCTTTACTTCAGGCTAGGACTGACTAATACTTACTCTGGTTGCCATTTTCCTCCCAAATTATATTTCAGCTGAGCTCACAAATGACATTAATTTGTTTTGTCGTTTGAACAAGTCTTTGCTCACTCGGCGTACACATATACCACCCTATCATCCCTGATTTGCGTTGCAGAGATGGGGTTCCATGATGCTCTACCGAGGGATCGATTGCCCCTGCCTCCATGTGAAAAACTTTGTGGTGACTTTCAACGGAAAGAAGATCAGCAAATGCACCAAGTGGAGCGAGCTTCCCATCAAGTTTCCCGTCTTTGACTACGCCGAACAAGCGAGCCGCGTGGCGGAGAGCTTAGATGACGAAGATGACGACGCTGAATGACTCACACCTACGTAGACTCGTCCGTTATTCTCTTTGGCTTGCACGGCATGAATTACTTCACCCATCTCACTGGCAAATGCAACGCTTCCTTCGAGTGTCGTGATAACTGGAGTCTCTGATGGCTGTGGGTTTAAGCATGTGCTGCAAAACATGAATTAGAATTGTTGGTGTATGGGATACTATATGTTGAATTTACTGCAGAAACTCTTAACAACCTTAGAATATATGTGCCTATTGTGTGCATCACTGAGGGAAATAGGATTTTCCTCTCACAAACTCCTGTGGTCTCCTGAGATCGGAGCCACTAAGCCTGTGATAGCCCCTCAGAGCCCACCTGTCAACACGCATGCAGACAAACAAGTGCTGCTGGTGATTTTCCATTAAATCCTAAATGTTGAGCCAGTCACAGTGGCTATTTTTAGAACTATTCCAAAGAATTCTTTTCATCCAACAAAAAGACACCTGAGTGATCTGATTGTCCGTCCCGGGCACCATCATGCAAGTTGTTCTTGAGTTATAAAACATGTGTTCACTCTCTGACGTGTCCTTTTATTTTTTATTTGCATTTATGTTCTAAATAATGAATTCGCTTTTTATTAAAAACTGCCCCCCACTAAACACTTGTCCAACACCATTATTGTGTTTCTTTTTTTCCACAACTGTAAATCTCTATCTCTAGCCAACTTCTGCCTTCATTTGTTGAGGGAATGACTTGCTCCACGGTGAAAAAGTCACTTCCTAAATACCAGCAAGTTGTGCGCTCTTGGAAAGTTGTGCAGGCAGACTTCAGGGAGGCATCTCTGTCTGTCTGGTGTCGGACTCCTCTCAGGAATGCAGCGGGAATTGTGAGAAGCCTTGCTTCAACTAAAAGTAGGACGGAGCTGTGTTTTTCTCATGTTGCCGTATTTAGTTTAAAACCATTGTTGCGGGGGGGGGGGGGGGGGGGGGGGGGGGGGGGGGGGGGGGCAGGCGGGGTGTTGCTGTGAGAGCATGTTAACCAGGCAGCAGAAGTCACTTTAAACTTCACATCGTCGACCAGGATTATTAAAAGACTGAAGAGCTTCACGGCGACTTCTTCAGCGTCATGGTCAGTAAATGGATTTATCAGCTTCAAAACTTAGTAAGAAGTCAAAACCATTAGTAGATACATGTAACTCACTTACTGCGGATTCTGTTTGGGATAAACTGACTACAAAACGAGAATCTGCAGCGTCAGCTTGTGTTGTGTGATTTTAAGAGGAGGATCGTTTTGCAACTTTTGTGTCACCTTTCACAGGGCTGCAGCAGCAGGGTGCTGTGGTGGGTGATAGGGACGGTTGTTGTCATCACGTTAATAACGATCTCAGCAGTTTATTACAGCGGTAAGTTGACGTTTAGGCCTGACCCGTCTGTGCTTTCCTTTCTCTCTGTGAGGCGTGTTGGGAACAGTGTGAAAATAACCAAAAAACAGTGTGTGACACGAAAGAAAGAAAGAAATCAAGTATCCTACGTATTTATACAGCATAGTAAAACAATATTACATGAATGCTTTTTAATTGGTTCATTTCTTGTTTTGGTGGTTTCATTTTTTTGTTTTTGTTTGCTTTGTTTTGCTGCCTAAATGTGTGTATTTGTTATTTATACGTTTGTCTCGTTTGAGTAACAAACTTGTGAACGAACAGACAACGATTACATGATGTATAAGTGGCTCTTATATGGATCGACAGAGTAATAGCACGCTGCAGGACGTTATAGCGCCACCGCGTGACGTACAGATGGATGAGTTTTTTTATTATTTATTTATTTATTTCTAACAGCAACATCTTACTTTTCTACAGTGGCGGAATGTGACTACGTGCTGTATTTTACTTTATTTTAATATTTTCACTTTATGCTAGTTTCTACTTCTACTCCACCAATTTTGGAGGAAATCATGGTACTTTTTACTCCACTACATTTATTTGATAACTTTAGTTACTTGTGCAATTTAGTTTAATACAAAATATAAATTAACTTATCGTAGGTTAAGCCACCTAGCAGTATGTAAAGTATATATAAATATATACTTATATATATATAAAGATTAGTCTCATCTTCTCCAGCTGCAACATTGAAGTGATGTACACATTAATGCATCACTAAATGTAATCCAGAAATATAATGTACATCATTCTGAAAAGAGCTGTTGTGTATGATGAGTTGTTTTACTTTGATTTCGATGCAGGCCAATTTTTACTTGAGTACGATTTTGAATGCAGGACTTTTGTGTGTACTTTTATAATCGCAGTATTGCTACTTTTACTTGAGATCTGAATTCTTCTTCTCCCACTGGATTTCTGGTATTGTGATAGGCAACCAGCCCTAATGCAGCATGTGCATCATTTCAGAGTATGATGCTCCCAAAAGGCTATTCACCCTCGAAGATTACTTCAATGACACCATTAGGTGGAATTCCTACAATTTGTATTGGATATCAGGTAAATCTATATATTACACAGGTTGGTCTTTTTGGGCAAGACAATATATACGTAAATCATGTTGTGTACAAACATTTTTCTTGTCTTTTATATCTGCAGACAAGGAGTATCTGCATAAAACAAGAGACGGGAATGTCTTCCTCCACAATGCTGAAACAAATGAGGAGTCACTCTATTTGAGCAATTCAACCTTTGTAATATATTTGTATTTTCCAATATGAACACTTTGTAACAATAAACACGATAATAATTCAGAATAACCTATATTTTATACTAATATTGTCTTAATCGTCACCATTGTAGGCTCAAGTGGATGCCACAGATTACATGTTGTCAGGTGATTATAGATACATCGCTTTTGAAAGCAATTTCACAAAGGTGAGAAACTCCCAGTGAATGTCCCCCGGCTAGCTTTGCATGTGTGTTTTTACAATATTTCAACTTTACAAGAGGTTCGCTCTTTAATCATCATAAAAAAATACCTGATAGAAAACGTCTGAAACTAAGTTTTGTGTTTTGCACTCCGACAGAAATGGAGACATTCATACGCAGCCTCTTACTCCATCTATGACAGGGAGAGTTCGTAAGTTGCAGTGTTTTATTGTGATGCAGTCCATCATTTCTAATTATATGGATGGACACACAGAATAATAGGTCGGGATTTATTTGGTATCACCCTAAATTATATTCATGTCTTTCCAGAACATTTGTTGTGCCTGTGAATCTTCCAACTGTTGTGCAGTACTTTGCCTTCGCCCCAAAAGGAAACAAATATGTAAGTTTACTCCAGGCAGCTCTGCCGTCACATTCAGTTGAAATAAACAATGTTACAGCTGCTTCAACAACACTGGCTTTGAATTATGTTGCCATGATATGTGACGCAACATGGGACTCCAAAATAAATATCAGGTCCTGTAAGACTGTTGTAAAAAGTGTACTTGATGAAGTAAAGTTATGAATCTGAGTATGGATTTTGTATCATGGATGTAATCAAAAACTACATTTTGATTTGCAGGCTTACGTCTCAAACTTCAACGTTTTCTTCAAATCCGATGTAACTTCTGAAGCTATACAAGTAACCCACAACGGGAAAAAGAATGAGATCCTCAATGGTGTCCCTGACTGGGTATATGAGGGTGAGTAACATTCACTCTTCCTCAGGTGTGCATCTGTGTCTCTATAAGGAAGATGATTACCGTTTTCTTTTCTTCCAACGATTTCAGAGGAAGTATTTGCGTCAAACGGGGCAATATGGTGGTCAACAACTGGAAAATGTCTGGCTTATGCAGAGTTTAATGATACAAACGTTCACAAAATTGAGTTCTCTTGGTATGGAGCGGAGCAGTATCCGGAGACAGTGGCGGTTCCATACCCAAAGGTGGGATTCAATATTTACAGTGCCTTTCAAAAGGATTCACCCCCCACCCCCCCTTGGGGTTTTTCATATTTTGTTGCGTTACCTGGAACCTACCAACCTGGAATTAAAATGAATGTTATTTGGATTTTATATAATAGACCTACAGAAAATAGTAAAAATTGGAGATGTGAAAAAAAAGCATTGTATAAAGAAACAGAATTGAGAACACATTCCCACATGCCTTTTAGCTAACACCAAACATATTGTTTATTTCTCAAAGAAATTACTTTTTTATGGCCACTCTTCCATAAAGCCCAGCTCTGTAGAGTGTAAGGCTTGCAGTCGTCCTTATATGGACAGATACGCAAATCTCTCTTGTGTAGCTTTCCAGCTACTTCAGAGTTATCTTTGCTCTATTTGTTGCCTCTCTGAATAAATGCCTTCCTGGTCCGTGAGTATTGGTCCTCTCTTGGCAGGTTGGTTGTGGTGCCGTATTCTTTCCATTTAAGTTCAAGGTTGTAATGCATCAAAATTGAGACAGAGTGGAGGTTTCTGGCACAACTTCACCTACTACTTAAGGTGCATGGAGAAGGGAAGGGAGGAGATTACCCTGATGAAGGCCATAAGTCGAAATACGTTGCGCTAAACACCACCGTTGTTCTATATACTACAAGTGTCGCTGGAGTTTGAACCTTCGTAATGCAGCAAAATAGGAAAAGCGCCATGGGAGGTGAATACTTTTGCAAGGCATGATATTTTTATTTATTTATAGCACACATTATACGGGCCCATTGTCCATAATTTATCTTCCTCACACTCATGTAATTATTTCACAAAAATTCTACTGTATTTGGGTGCAGGCTGGATCTCCCCTTACCAAGGTGAAAGTGTTTGTGGTTGATACCACAAATCCATCCCGCCGCACACAGCTGTTTGCCCCCGCTTCTGTTGCTTCTGGGTCTGTATATTCTTCACTTCATAGCATCAATTAAATCAAATGTCGTTGAAAACAGAGGCAAACACAATATCCTCATGGTCTGCCTTACCTTGTCACTTTCTGTTGCCTTTGCTGCAGAGATCACATGTTGTGCTCAGTGACCTGGGTTACAGACGAACGCGTCGCTGTGCAGTGGGTCACGAGGAAACAGAATTACGTGGTTGTACAGATCTATGACTTTGATGAAAGCAGCTGGCAAGAAAAACAGGTATAGCTGTCATGACCATTGTGTTGACTTCGTGGTCATTTGAGGAAACGCTAATTAACTTCAATGAATTTCTCTGCTTTCTACAGAAATTTGAGCAAACAAGCAAGACAGGATGGGTCGGCCATGTAAGTCTCCGGGAAGTTGCCACCATTGATTGTGAATTAATTGTTTGATTCGGTGTATGACTGTAAAATATCACTTTTTTTTTCAGTACGTCCCCTTACCTCTTTTCTTTGCTGATGATAAACTCAGTTTCTACAAAATCATGAGTGACACTCAGGGCTACAAACATATTCATCTTGTGAAAGATGTAAGTATATTTCAATTATATTATATACTAAATATACTGCACAGTAGCTTTCATCACGTCTTTGGTGTTGAGGGTTGTATTCACTCCTTTTGTGAAGGGCAAAATGACGCCTATCACCTCTGGGAAGTGGGAAGTCATCTATATATCCAAGTTAACAAAAGATGCCATGTGAGTGATGATCCCGTACACAAAACTACACAAAACGTATAGGAAAGTAAATACATGTAAATCTGACTCATGTAAAATTCCTCTCTACAGATATTTTGTGAGCAATGAGTACCAAGGAATCCCTGTGAAGAGAAATCTTTACAAGTAAGGAATTCTTTTAATCTCTGCGATGTATTCTTGGACCCCAGGAAGACTAGCAGACGCTTTAGCCGAAGCATTTTGGGATTCTATAAAGAATAAACAAGAGCACAATAGACATTACAACGTTAGGATGAACTTGCATTTCTCGATCGTCATAACTGACGTGAGTTATTTGTTTATCAGGGTTATTATTGGAAGCAGCCCTTCTGCTCCTCAGTGTCTCACCTGTGACCTGCGTGAGGACAGGTGTCAGTACAACTCTGCTTACTTCAGCTTTGACGCCTCTTACTACCGAATGGACTGCTACGGTCAGTTACCCATCCACATCTTCTCATAACTCATCCACATCAACATCAATAACTCATTCACGGTGTTGGGGGGTCATCTGTGGCAAGGACCATCTGTGAACAATGATCTGTGCAAAGACTTCCAAAGTGGTACAGAAGACTTGATGTTTGATAAACTGTGTTTGCATTTTCTATTTTTGTTTTTACCAGGACCCGGGTTGCCCCTCTACACACTCATGGACAACAGGGGCTCAGGTGCAGGTCCGTATCCTTACTAACCATAAGCCCATTGTTGAATTATTTATTGCAGACATTTTACAGTCAATTCATATCATCATCTCACTTTGTGTGCTGTACAAATGTGCACAGATTGTTTTTTTCATTATTATTAATATTTTGTTGTTGTAGCATAACTAAATAACAGAAATATTCTCAAATCTTGTGTTTTTAGTGAAAGTCAACCTTCAGTGTCAGTTATACAAAAGTGTGTTATGGTGATACCTGCTCTGTACTTTTCACACTGATTCTGGTCAGGTTGTATCAAGAGAGGTGGCAGATCTTAAAGATTAACAGTTTGTGGTTTAAAAGTAGAAATATCTTTGATATTCACTTTATTTAATTTTTTGTCAGAGCTCTCCGTTCTTGAAGAGAACAAGGATCTGGAAAATATTCTGTCACAATTCCAAATGCCGACAATGCAGCATGGCACGTTAAAGATTGCAGGATATGGTGAGACAATACAGTATATGTTTAAAGATCCCTACCAGTGTGTTTGAAGATGTCAGGTTTCAGGTTTAACAGGTTTGGACCCAAACACAGATGAGAGCATTTAATTAATAACAGAAAACCTTACAGAGTCCAAAAATGGTTGATGATAATGATATTTAAAACATATTGTGAAAAGGTTCAATTTCTCCGTATTCACTAGGCCCTGTTCCCCCAAATGAAGTGCTATGTGTCTGCTTTATTTTTATTTATTTTGTATTTATTTGATATATTATAAATTAAGGTGTATAAATGACTCAATCTTGTTTAGTGTTCTTTGTTTTATGGGTTCATATGAGTTTTGTTGTTGATCCCCCTCTGATTTTGGAGTAGTACAGCGTGTACTTTTTTTTTCCGCCAGATCTTTGGTATCAAATGATGTTACCACCAAATTTCAAGAAGTCTAAAAAGTATCCTCTTCTTATTGATGTGTAAGTAAACAATACTCCTCGGGCGCTTCATCTCAACATAATTCAGTGAGCGTTCGTAAACATTTGAAGAAATCTGCCGTTGCTGACCTATGCAGGTACGGAGGCCCCTGCAGTCAGGAGGTGGACTACCGCTTTAAGCTGAACTGGGACACGTACCTCTCCAGTTCAAACGGGATCATCGTCGCCAGCTTTGATGGAAGGGGAAGCGGTTACCAAGGTGATGAAATAATGCATGCAATCTACAGACGCCTCGGGACGTTCGAAGTGGAGGATCAGATAGCAGCCGTGAGGTAAAGTGTGTCTGAACAGTCAATCACCTCATGTTATATCGCATGCACTGTGAAGGGATCACATTTGTTGGCTGTACCTCTCTGACGAGCAAAGTTATGTCATATTATTCACAAAGATTTAAAAGTAAGTAGTGGATGGTCCGATACTCAAATATACGTTCATTGTTTTTGTTGCTAATAAATTATTTACGTGTTGTAGGAAATTCATCAACATGGGCTTTATCGACAAAGACAGAATAGCAATATGGGGCTGGGTGAGTTGCACTGTCTTGTTGCTCTTTGTATCTCTCATATACTTGTGTTCTTATTCAGTGTTTTTACATTCACTAAATCCAATCTATTCTGACTTTCAGTCATATGGTGGCTATGTCACCTCAATGGCCCTGGGTGCTGGAACTGGACTCTTCAAATGTGGAATAGCAGTAGCCCCAGTGGCCAAGTGGGAATATTATGGTTGGTGTTAATACATACTATAGTATATATTTCTACGATCTATTCTGAGAGAACTATTTCCCTTATTTGACATCATTTCTACAGTGTACTTGAGAGTCCTCCACTGATTTGCCATTGCAGTTCCATAACATCATCAGACACACTGTTGACACAAAAAAATGGATTAAAGTCGATGCAACAACACCAGAGATGTCGTCATTTTTATTCCATTCCATCCACAGACAATGTGGTTGGATATTTAGGTGTGTTTTGCTAGTGCTAGTTAATGTACCTCAAGCTGAGATGAGAAGCAGTCTAACAGACACCCACCCCCCCCAAAACTCGTAGTCGTCAGCCCCAACTGACACTGACTCAAGTGACATCACTTGAGGCGGTGGTTTACCAGAATTCATGGAGCTCCCTCTGGAACGACAAAAGATTTCCACATATTCAGCAGTACTCCTCTAGACCTGTCGCCAGACTTTGATGTGTAGAATAGAGTTTCCCTCTCAGGATTCAAATCTCCATATAAATCTTGTGAACTGTGTCAAAACCTCTTTTCTTCTGTTGAATAAGTGTAATTTGTATACTATGTGCTGTATAATTGTGATATTAAATTAGTTGTTTTTTTTGCAGATGCAGTGTACACTGAACGCTACATGGGCGATCCCGCAGAGAATTCAGACGCTTACAAGGTACATTTTACCAAGTCAGCTCTTTCACAATACTCTTTTTAAACTGCACACTACTATCTTGAGACATACGTTTTTAATGGTGACATATCTATTTTATCTAACAGAATTCCACAGTGACCGCCAGAGCAATGAACTTCAGAACAGTAGACTATCTATTGGTTCACGGCACAGCAGATGGTACGTTTCATCAAAATACTCGTATTTTCCGTTTTGGAGCATGTGGTAGCCTTGTTTCTTAACAGCGTACCAGGTAACACAGTAAAGCCTTTCACTAATGGACCCTGTTTGCCTTGAGCTTTGATGTTCATTCACGTAGTGAAAACACTGTCTTTCCTGTAGACAATGTCCATTTCCAGCAGGCAGCACAGATCTCCAAAGCTCTGGTGGACAACCAAGTGGACTTTGAGACGATGGTAAATATTGGCTCAGGGAAGTGGGACTAATATTGGTCTTGATGGTGTTGATTTAATGAAAGTTTAAAATGGGGGGGGGGGGGAACGGCCATGTGTTATTATGCACAGTCTTAAATATATGGTTTAAAATGAGTATAATTTGATATTGGAATTCAGAATTGTAGAGACTATGCACTAATCTGAATTTGGCATTCATTTCAGTGGTACACAGACAGGGACCACGCTCTCAGAGGATCAGCCTTTTATCATACATACACCCTCATGAGCCACTTCCTGCAGAAATGCCTCATTCCTCCCAAATAAATGTGAAGACTGTGACAGCATCCTTTTCTAATTTGTGTATTTTTTTATTTTGGTGATATGAAGTGTCATGTTGAACTAGAATTTGTTTTTGTTTTTTATGTGCAATGGGTGTTCAAATGCTCGCACAAATGAGCACTTTTATTTTATGTGGATTTAGGGATCCTTTGTCAAAATCTCGGACATTCAAAACAAAGCCATTGCATGCATTTATGTTTGAAAACATTCTTTTATGTGAATATGACATCATACAATAGATAAATAGTTCGGAACTGATTTGTTGTGTGAGTGTTATAATGTGTGCAGTCATGTTCTAATAAATAAATATTGTTTTAAATAAAACTGATTGATTATTTGTATATTCTTAGTCCAGATGATTTTCCCGCATATCATTACTAAAAATAATGAAGGTATGTAGATATTGTCTATCTCAATACATTTTCCTGCATGCTTACTTACAGGCAACTAATGTGGGGAGTACATGACTTTTATAAAAATAAACAAATTATAAATATTTATATATATGTATATGTATATATGTATACAGTATATATATAGCTTTGTTGTCTGTACATGATAAAACAAAATATTCAGTTTTTGTTTCATGACACTTAAGAGGAAGTCATTGGAACACATATGGGTGGCAGTATTTGTCAGTCTTTATTTGTCAGGGTGGAGGTCATGTTTGATTGCAACACCTAAAGTGGCAGCTTTCACCACCCAGATTGCTTTAAACAAAGTCAAATACATTCAGTGGACTGAGAGGGAAGCTGACTAATGGGTTGAGAGTAATAGAGGACGCTGATGTTTCAGTGACGGGGGAGTCACCTGGGAGAATGCTCCTCAGCTCCACTATATAAGACTGGGCAGATCAAGGGGGGGGACCATGAAACAGCTTCAGAGGGAAGAAGGGCACCAATCAGCGCACTTTACAATCCTTCTCGCAGACGCCTGACAGCAAGTCGCACAGGTGAGAATATTTGTACCTTCCTCCTTTCAAATATAGACATAGTCTACATAATATTTTATTTCTCTCATCCTGCATTGAAATATTCTCACAGTGTCTTTCTCTGCTCTTCTTTCAGAAGCTAAAACAATGAAAAGCGCTCACTCTTTGGCGGGAGTCCTGCTCCTCATCGTGATCCAAAGCAGCTGGCAGATGCCTGACCAGGACACAGACCAAAACCCCATGTAAGACCAGTTCTCATCTTTGTCTCACACATTGGCCTGAAAAGCAAAGATCTTTTACGAGAGGATTACAAATTCTGGCCATGAGTATTTGGTGACACCATCCTGAGCTGCAAAAATATGCACCAAATCTTTTGAGAGCAACAACCAGGTTTGAACAAAATAGAGTGTTACAGCAGAAAAGCAACCACCACATTTCATCTATTTTCTTTTTGTGTAATTTTTATTTTTGTGTTTTGTTTTTTGGTTAAGAGGGCCAAACATTTCTAAAGCAAGAACGGCAAAGAACTCTCATGCTATGAGACTGCTTTTCCATTGACAGCTCCACATGTTGCTTTCAAAGTATCAGCTATTGACATTAGAGGAAAAGGACCAAATAATGTGTCATTTGTTATTCTTTACTAAAATAACCTGTTGGGGAACTTTTAGGTGAGTTACGTGAGATAATGTTTATATGTTTCATTTGAATGCCTTCCTTGTAGCATGTATTGGCATTTTAATATTTAGTATTTATTTTAGTTGTATTGTGGTGTCCCCCTGTCATGGTTGCTGATGCAAAACTCAATTTACAAAAGTATCGCATAGCCTAATTGACAAATATTTTAACATGGATCAGTGCATCAACAAGATCCAAATTTACAGATAATATTGCTGATTCTAAAATGTACGCGTAGTTATTGGTGGATGAGAATGATGCAACAGGATGAACAGCTGTGGTGTGAGAACTCCAGCAAGTTAAACTCCCTAAAAAAGCGCAGGGATGGTCAGCATTTATGTATGTTTATATGACAGGAAGGGGAGTGTTTGAGATGAAGTTGTGTCAACTAAAGCTTTATTATCTCCATCATTTCTAGTCTATTGGCTGAAAACCCCATGCTGGCCGAACCCATTGAGCTCACAAACATGAAGAGACATTCGGAGGGAACATTTTCCAACGACTACAGTAAATATCTGGAGACAAGAAGAGCACAAGACTTTGTCCAGTGGCTAAAGAACTCAAAAAGGAATGGGTGAGTGTGCCCTTTTCTTACTGGATCACTTCAACTTGGTGGCATAGCATAAATTATATCAAATATAGCTCAAGTCTGTAATATAACAAGGAAACCATTGCTTGAATTGATTAATACTGTAGATTGCTATATGCCTGTGGTATTGGATCAGACAACGCAATTGTACAAACAGTTATTGTGACTGTATCATCTAGATGTGTCTGTCTCTACAGGAGCCTGTTTAGACGCCATGCAGACGGCACCTACACCAGTGATGTGAGCTCGTACCTGCAGGACCAAGCAGTCAAGGAGTTTGTCTCCTGGTTGAAGAATGGCCGAGGCAGAAGAGAGTAAACTCAACCAACAGCTGCCAAATAATGCGACGATTCACACTGACTCTGTGCTATTATATGTTTCACAAACTGTACTTGAGTTTTTTTTCCTGGTCATGCTATTAAATTCCCCTAATAAGAAGCTCTGTCGGCCTTCAGTGGTTGAAGGAAATGTCAAAATGCCAAAAGGAACAGTATGTTTGAAATAAGTCTCAATCATAAATGCTGTGTGACTATTTTATTTTATCAAGCATTTGAACCATAATAATGTTTTTCAGATTTTGGCAATTTTCCTCTTTCTTTTCACATAAAATTTGTCAGAATATGTTACAATCACATTATTGATCTGAATTGCAACTTGGCTAATTTCATCTGTAGATAATCTCGATACCTTTTCTTATCATTCAGATAAAAGTCATATTTAGTTTTCAATAAAGAAATGTGTATAATCCCTCTTTAAAGAACAATGTAATGTAATCCCTTTTTGAAATATCGGTTTGACAAGGATCACTCTTCTTGGCAAGGATCTACGTCTGACTGTGTACGTGTCCATCTACACATATAATCTCAGAGAATACATGAAGATCACCTTTTAGGCACAGGATCCACCTGTAAATTGTTCACCAAAAATATAATTCTAAAACTTCAAAATGAATAGTTATTTCAAAGAAAACATTTTCGATTGGTAAATGAGAATATATAAACTATTGTCACTATCCAGTTACCACCAGTGTTACATTTTGACAGCAGGCACCACTCATGCTCTCCTAATCTTTCTGTTTGTGGAGGCAGAACAAAAATCAATAAACATGCCACTACCCTGGGAGAAATGTGCTGTGGGATTTCCACCAGGTAACAGGATGATGCGTGTCACCTGTCAGCTGTTCACCGGAGGAGGATCACCCAGTGATGCTGTGACAGCACACCAAGGAGGGCTAAATGCTCAATGAAAGAACATGAAATCACGTCAATCAGCTCAGACTCGTTGGGAACAATGACCGGGTCGACACTCTTGAGTTCCTCCTGGAAGAAAAACAGGAATTCACATGAGCCAGCAGCTTGACATGCTTTGGGATGTGCCACCTCTCTAAGCTGTCATCCACCGCACATTCAAACCAGCTGCTGATTGCAAGAACCTCTGCCCACTTCAGTCTATTTGCAGGCCAAATCTCTGAGGGTTGGACATTAATGCTTAGCAGCAATGATATTGGATGTTTCTATCATGGTATCCCCCATGCAGGAATTACGTCAATGCAGTGTGTGACCAAGCATGTGCTGCTACCTGATTATTTGACAGTCTGATATGTGATTTGAGCCTATAAAAAAAATCCTCTTTGAGTCTAAAATTAAAGGTTTTGTGGTTACTGTACGTTTCTGAAGCACTTCATAATAAGAGAAAAACATGCTTAACTTATGCATAACTATTGAATAACTAGAGATGATTTAATGCATCAGGCTTGTGAATTACCGTTGCTCACCTTTAAGCAATGTTACAGTCACTATAAGTTTATGTATTATTATATTATATTATATAATGGATTATGATTTATAGATTTGTATGCCAACTGTTACTTTCCCACTGCAGACAAAAGCCAGATGTTAGTGGGTTTTTTATCCAATGGGAAAGGGGCTTCAGTTACGTCATGCATTAATCTTTATTCCATCAAATTAGCCAGATTACAGTTTCCATTTGAGACCAATGCATTTGATCAGCATCTCTTAAAACAACAGCTGCTTTATCAAACTGGTAGTGTGCATCTACATCTACATGCTGCATGACCCAGCAGCCTTTACTCAACATGTACAAGCTAGTGGTGTTGTTATTGAAAGAAGTGGTCATCATTGTCTTCGTCAGTTCTTTACACATGAGATCACTATTACTTAGTTAGTAGTAGTCGGAGTACCAGTAGTAAATTACTACTTAATGCACATTCACTGAAGGCGAGTATGAATACTATTCTGCTTTCAGAGAGACTGAGCAAATGCATGCTCAAATGCTCTTTTCTATGTAACTGAATTCCAGCAATTTTGATCTGTGACAATAAGACAAATAGTGCTCATTAAGGTAAAATAACATTGACAAGATATATATATAATAAAATTGTGTTTTTAAAAATAAGCCCATCCCTAGTTCTTTTAAAACACCACTATTAAAGCTTTATTGTAATCCTCAGATGTGTAGCAAAATTGCATTTATGATGATGATGCTTTTTAATTCATGATTCACTGAATTTTATACAAACATTAAAACGAATAATGAGATCATTTAAATTTACATTTACAATATAAGCAATGCACTGACACCTGGAGGCAAAATACTGCAAGTCTCTGTAAGAATACAGGTATTCTCTGGCAAACATTTTCGTCCACAAAATACATATGGACGAATAATTGATCATGTAAATACAGAACGGATATTCTGACAGAAAGTGTTATTGCATCTGGTTCTTAAGAGTATATTGCCCTTTATCAATCACATTAAAGCACTCATTCCTGTACATCATAACCATTATTTGGATTCAAAATGGCTCCGTCCCATAAACAGACATCAGAAATGTGTATTTTACTGGCTTTTCATGTTATAGGAATTTTAACACATTTATGTATTCATGTATGGCTTTTCAGAATGTTCTAATGGTTAATGGTCAACAATGACCTTCGGCTTCTGAAATAGTAACTACATCTTAATAAGTTTCACATCACATCCAATGTCTAAAGAGAACATTAGGAATTACAGGGAATCCGTATACAAATAGATAAAGAATT